TTGAAATGCAACGATAACACAGCGGAGGTAATGGATAATGTGTAAAGGGCTTGCAAATAGGCAAAATTCATGAGAGTGGTAAAGCACGTTTTTTTCACAGAGCACCTTTAAAAACTCCAGTGCATTAAGTCATTGATTACTACATCTTCATTGATGTGACTGCCTTGACTTCAGGCAGTCACTGTATATAAACGTCATTCTCTTTCTATTGGCTCGAGTTGAAATCTCCGGAGTATATCCGGCCGCGTTCAGACATCAGCTCACCTGGACTTTCTGCAAAAAAAATACTAGGGGTCTGGCCGGAGACACTCCGGGTAAAGTCCGCGCGACTGTTTGCGTTCACACAAACAAAAAGCACCTCCGGGTAACCAAATCTCCAGAGTTTTTCAGGAGATGTGTGAAAAGGGTTATGGGGACACAATGATCATCAAACTCTTCTGGTTTTCACAAGACCCGTTTTGAAAGGTGCAAAGGGTATCCGAAGGAAACACTGAGATGACACATTTGTTGTCATGGACCCCACACCTGACCAACCTTCGGCTAGCATGCTACTGCATACTGTCATTGCCCATGATTGAAGATTAACTTCTATGATGAGAATTTGTACTAAAACGAAGCAAACATATGCACCGATTTGTTCACATTGTGCCTCCCAGTTTACCCAATGTTGTGAGTGACTGAGGTGTGATTATTATTTTACGACCAGTATAATTATTTGACAAGACCTCGGCCTCAATGATGCAGATGCTGCAGGCGTGGGGATGAGTTACGGCTGCAGACCTATCAAGATGATAAGTTCACTGTCCTACTTAATTAACATCAAGAAGTAGCATTTGAATGCTTTGATTTAGGAGCTGAGAATAAATATACTTGACTTAATTCGGCCCACTGGGATCATACTATTATAAACGGCTCGAGCATCTGAGATCTGAGATGTGCTAAAACGGTTGGAGCATTTAAATCAGGGCTCAACAGGTTTCTGTTTACTGTGGCGAGTAAACTACAAATGTCTGTTATTAGGCTTGCTTTGCTTTACTTACTGGTTTTTAATAGAAGCACAGTCTCTAATCCATAACTTTTAATAAATGACTATTTATTAAACTTCTTTTATTTGAATCTTCTTTCTTTTTACTTACTGCTCCCTCGCCTTTTTATTGGGTATCTTTTAGAGCATTTTACAGAACATGTGTTTGCACTTTTTTTTCGCCTTAGGTTAGTATGACCCTGACGTCAACAACGTCTTTTCTATATATGCAAAGCCTGTGGAAGAGTTTGGGAGAATTGTCATAGCAGGGACACAGCTTCAGACGTGCGCTTGCTACTCCATCTCTGCTCCGGAGTATTCTTGTATGTATAAACTTTCTTCAACTTAAGCCATCTGAGTCTCCTGAATCATTGCGTGTGTGAAGTCAAGTTCTTAGTAATTTCCTCAACAGCCTGTGTGTCCATGTATTTGCATGGTTACACATATGTTTGTGTATGTGTGTACATGTATTTGCTCATTGGACTGTGCACACCTGTCTAGTTTGTGTAAATGGTGTTTGCATTGTGTATAAATTGTGTATGCACACACATTATCCTATGAAATGTTTGAAATTATTTTGATGCCCATGTAAAGCACTTTGTTTTGCCTGGTGTCTAAAAGGTGCTAATTAACTCGCCTTACCTAATACAAATATACTTTGTCACTGACGTATAGTAAATGTTGAAAACACATCTATGACTTGAAACCCAAAAGTGCTCTGTCATTACTTTGGTTATGTTGTGTCAGCACATCATTTTCTTTGGCAGTCGGATAAAGATGAATGAGATAAACAAAGTCTTTATGATCTCAGGTCACACCAATCCTTAAACAAATGGGTCCACTCTGAGTCATAGATCACATAATGAAGTGAAGCAAAGTTAATTGTGTTTGCTGCTATGCAAGTGATGTAGCCGTAATAGAAACCGGAGACTGTCGCAAATTGGTTTGTAATGAGAGCGACGCTCTGCAATCTCTCCGTGCCCTCTGATAATACTGTATACGAGGACAAATGAAGCAGCTGAGGCACACGCTGTGGTGATCTCTGCAAACAGAGCTGCTGATGCATCGAGCAGAAACGTCTCAGGTGTTGAGCTATGATTAAATGAAAATAAATGAATCTGAGGGGAGATTTTGAACAAGTCATTAGAAGATATTCAAGAGAGTATAAAGAAGATAAAGCGGCTCAAAGTCTGAACGGGGTCGATGCTGACCAGTGAAAAAGTACACAGAGAGGTTTCTTTGCTGGACATGGAGCACTAACCTTTCCACACAGCAAAGCACCAGAATATGTATTTACAATGACACTTTGCTAATGCTCATGCTTGCAATTCATAGAACCTTCAGAGATTATACACATGGGACCATTTAATCTGGATAATTCTGGACTGCTAACAATTACAAAGTGTCAAAATTGCCAAAAGACTGTTTTTTAAAAGTCTCTCAGGTGGAAACAGAGGTGGAACAGGCGATACAGAATCCATGTAAACATCAGAAGTGGTGTTCCATCGTATAGTGCTACCCATCCAGATGTGTTCACGAGGCTCAGTGCAGTAAAGGGATGATTATTTCATAGATGTTATTCCTCAAGATACTCTTTCACTTAAATATTTACAGTCTTTACTTTAGTGTTAAAACAGGTTTATTTTTCCTTACAGTGAGGATGCAGTGAGTAGTGGTGTTATATCAAGTGATTCTATACGGGGAGCATTTTTTGAGATGGGATATTAGTCTGTCCAGATATGCTTAAATAATACAGTACCAGAACTTGCTCTGCATACCCTTACACTGCATGTGGAGAATTTAGTGGTTTAATATAAAGTTAATATGTGTTATATACAAAGGAACAATGACAGGATGGAACAGCACTGTGTGTGTGTGTGTGTGCAATATTACGCTGTTGTGGGGTTCAGTAAAAGAACAAAGCCAAAGTAATGGTGCTTTTTTACAGCACTGCTGCAAAATATAAGTGTAAGAAATTGCTTGAGTATTCTGTCTGGTTTACATTTCTCAAGTTAAATGAAATTAACTTTTTTAATGGTAAGCTTAAAGCTCCTGTGAGGAACTTTTGGTTTGTGTCAGTTTTGGCGCCCCCCTGTGGACTAAGCCAGTTAGCCTTTAGATGTAAAGCCAGAGTACCACTTATCTCACTGCTTATCTTGTCCTGTACATGTAAAAGGTATTTTTAAGAAAACATCTCATCCTGGTCTTTTTGAAAGTCCAAACATATCACACATGTAGACTCTTGGCAGTGAAAAATTGAATAAATCACTTTGTCTGCAGGGCTGTTAAGCATTAAAGATAACCTCACAGAAGTCCTTTTTTTTATGCCTGGCCTCGTTTGCTTTTGTAGCTCGTAAAGAGGCAGCTGTATTAATTTCAATCTATTTCATAAAAAACTCTTCACAGGAGCTTTAATAGCTGTAACAGGGAAAAGAAACCGGCTTTTTATCTGGTGAAGCGGTAAAGGTGGGGCTCTTCTAAAACTGTTAGCCAAGAGTTGACACCAGTTCAGAGGGCTGAAGAAGAAGAGGACTCACAAGCTCAGTGTGGAGCTTTGCAAGCAGGAAAATCTGCTGACATGTTCCAGCTACGATGCCAAATTCAATGTCATCATACATACAGCAATCTGCTGAAGTACTTTGACATTTTGAACCCACAGTTTAACAGTTTTTATCATGCTGATGTCCCGTCAATCAGCAACTCTTTTCAATTATCATCAATCATATGTATACACTGTGTGTGTATTGGCTCTAGCATTGGCACAGAATCATATCACAGGTCAACTCTATTCGGATTTCGTCCAGCAGTCTGCTTTTGTTTAGGCTACATTTTACATGTGACGTGTACAGTAATAGGTTTTTAATCTGATGGAGGGAAAATGCACACATAAGCAGAACCAGATTCAAGGAAAGATTGCTCACTGTCACCATCGTTTGACCAGAAAAAGCACTGCAGATGGACTCAAGTACCTCATTATTAATGTCATGTCTGTTGGACGCAGACACCCACACACCTGATGAGTCATTGACAAAGTGCACAGTCGGCTCCCATTGCACATTGCATTTCCCAAAGCTGTCACACTAACCCTCGTCCCCTGAATAATTACACTTCAATTTAGCAAAATCACAAAATGCATAATTCAGCAGGAAATATAGCCCAGGTATATAGCGTACACACAATAATTAAAAAGCAACACAGTAAGTATAAGTCAAGCAGGAGTTGTGGTATAATATTTTATTCTCATATTTCATGGAATACAAAGTCCCCCCATCCCACTGCCCCCCCCCAAAAAAAGTGTGCACATCAGATGTGGTGGAAACTATTCAAGGACAAAGAAAAGAATAGTCAAGAGACAAAGGAAGTTGCTTCATGGGTGTAGAAGTGTACGGCTGCAGTTTAATGTATAAAAAGTATACCCTCTCCTCATGAATGGAGCCTTTAAAAAAAGTAGCCACATCTGGCTAGAGTCAGTTGATAAAAAGGGCCGTAGCCACGACAGCTGAACACAAACGATGAAACTAAACATGAGTTTCCTTTTAGAAAATATAAATCGTCTTTCCATTGATTTGTTTTGTTTTTTTTCCATTATGACTACGAGGACGTAATCAATCGTGAGTGACAATAATTTAGCTTTACATGACTGGGAGTTCAGTCACTTTTCTACTCTTTCACACAATCTCTTGCTAAGCTGCACAAAAGGAATGAAATATTTCCCCCATCAGAGTTGGGAGAAAAATAAAAAGTTGACAACTATACAAAGAAATAAAGACAAAGAGCAGAAGGGAATCAGAGAAACGGAGCCAGCAGGGCTACAAATGGATATAACCTCATGTGTACTAGCAGCCAATCCAGGTCCAATATAGGCTTTTTTCAAAATGGCTTTGAAACATCTGGGGTGGATCTAGCAACAAACGCACCAGTGAATTTGTATCACTGGAAAAATTCCCATCAGCTGGGACAAAATGACAGAAGTAAATTGACGTGTTTTCAGACAGGTCTGGCAGAAGGTCTTCGCTAATCTCTTGACATGAAAAAACCAACCAGCACAAAGACACGCTGATCTGGAAAAACCACGGACAGGTATAGTGAATAAAAAATAACATTAGTAACATCACTGCTATTGAATCCATACATTTCAATGCATGACAAAGTCTGTTTCCGAAGATTGGCAGGCGAACGATTCTGTTCAAACATCCACCGAAAAGAAAAAATAATGTCACACTGATTATTATGAGATGGTTTTGTTTTAGATGATTTTCCCAAGAATTAATTGTAATCTTTTCCTGACCACTACACATCAAGAAACACACCAGAAAACAAAGTTAACCCAATACGATACACACAATCCAAGGTTCACAGTCCGAGAAGGTGCTGTTTGAAAAGAGCCTCAGGTCCTCTGTGTCCACCGGGTAAAGTGTCCGTCTCGGTGAACTGACAATTTCACCTTTCAGAGAGTATGTGGTGGACACTGGAAAAACAAATTCTTAAAAAAAAAAAAAAAAAGGACAGAAAAAAAGACATGTTCAGGATGATGGAGCTTCACCTCTTCAGCAGCCGACTCATTTATTTCTGAAAGCTTTTCCCAGTCGCTCAAACAGAGAATAAACAGGCTGTAGCGGATGCTGTCCATGTTTATCCTCTTTCATTTCTAGCGTTTTTCCATCCATCCATCCCAGTCCTTTCTTCGGCGGTCTGCTCCTCACACCATGTACGAGTTCTGGTTCTTCAGCTTGTCCAGCTCTTTGCTCTGCTGCCTCAGAAAAAGGATTCTGTAGTTGAGGGGAGGGGGGGGGGGGAGAAAAGGCTAATCAATGCGGGATGTCCTTGTCAGTTATTGTGAATTCTCTGACAAAATGTGACAACATGTTCCTTACCTCTGTTCCCTCAGCGTGGCCTGAATCTCACACACTCGGACCAGGGAGCGCAGGTTTTTCATCTCTGTGCAGATCTCTGACATGTACAAGCTGCCCATGTTGTGGATGTCCTCACGCAACCGAGCCGCCTGGTGGACAAATGGAGGTACGAGTGCATCTTGTTAAATCATGCATATTGCTTTTTCTCCAACCAACATTTAGTTACTTCAGAAATGAGAAGAAACATTTATCTTACTGATGGTGTGGTTCTGACTTTAACTCAATTGAAAACACGAGTGTGGACTGTGGAATGATACACCGGTGTGGACAGATATATTAATTTGATAATTAAATATCATCAGTGGAATGTGAAAAAAGAGTAATCATATCGCTATCTTTAACAAAAGCCGATTGACCAGCTGGCTGTGTAGAAAGGAGAAATAAATTCTTAATTAAAAATCATTTCAACCTCTAGAAAAAAGCCAAAAGAAGACTCTAAAAGCTTCAGAAACACACACTTCATGGATCTTGTTATGACAGTAGTAAGATTAAAGGCCAGAGTTTGTGATATCCGCCCCTGAATCAATCAATACACACTGAAAAGCTACATTATAGGATGGAATAAAAGAATAGGGCCTTTGAGATTCGTCCAAGATTTACTACAAGAGGTTGGAGTAATGTCAAGTATTGCCTGAAGATGGAGCCAAAGGAACAACTCTGTTGATCAAACCATTTTTAAAATAGACACAAAACCCTCTACATAAGAAGACTGGTAAACCTGATGAGACATCCTCACCTGCTCTGTAACATAAAAACCTCTGTGCAGGACTGTACCTGTTTCTCAGTGTTCTCTGAAGGCCATCCTTGGATATGTCTGATGAGGTTCTCATCGAAATGAGCTGCCAGGGTGGGGGTGTAGGAGCCAGGGTTGTCGCCCGGTGATTGGCTAGTGCTGCTGGAAGGGACATGGGGCAACGCAGCACCAGGTAGGGTCGATCCCAGACACAGAATCTCCTGGCTGTTGGAGGGAGAACACGTATTAAGTACATCTGGTTTAAATCAAACGATGCTTCAGACTCCCTGATGTTCATGCATAGAAGTCACTGTTGGATATTATTTTGACTTAATAATTAATTCATAACATTTGTATCTACACAAACACTGCTCATCATATTGCATTCATTCTGGGTGAATAACAAAACGTCTCTTTGTATTTTACAGAGATGTTTTTATGCAAAGGATGGTAAAATGTGAAAACTGTAACAAATAGATTGGACAGCTCTCTCTCTCTCTCTCTCTCTCTCTCTCTCTTTGAGCACCTGCAGAGCAACTTCAATTGCTATACCCAACATGAACTCAAAAGGTAAAGAACCTGTGCAGATTGTCCACTAATTTATCGATCTTACTACATCTTATATGGATATTAAAAAAAGAACACGCTCTGCATAGGTAATGGCTATTGGTGGGAAACACTTTCATGCATTTCATCAGGTTGATAAAAAAAAAAAAGAATCAATCTAGTCGATTCACTAACACTGCCAGGCCCGAAAATGTCATTTGGAAGTAATTCTACTCCCACTCCAGGGATAGGTAATTCCAAGTGAACAAAGTAAGGTTCTGTGTTTTGATATATCACTTTACTCTGTGTTAACACGTCCCTTTATTTTGGAGAATGCATAAAGCCTCACAGCCAAATGTGTTCCTTGCATCTACAAATGGTCCCCATGGACATTTTTTGGGTCCCGTGTTCCTGTTGAGATCTGTAAAATGTTTTTGTTATTCAGATGCTAGTTTCTGAAAGCTCTTCTTTTTGTTTGTTTTACCTCCAAAAATCTCTCCCTATGCTTCCGCAGCACCATAACACAATGTGAAACCACAGTGGGACAGCAATGTTACTCTGGCTTTGTACTTACTGAACCCCACAACAGAGTAATGGTGGAGCTTTTTTTTACAGCACTGCTGCAGAATCGAAATGTAAGAAACAGCTTGAGTATACTGTCTAGTTTATGTTACTTACGGTAAGTAAATAAAGTAACTTTTTTTATGGTTAGCTTAAAGCTCCTCTGAGGAACTTGATAACACAAAAAAAGTGTTAAATAGATGTCTTCTACCTTCTCTGCTGGAGAGTTCTGGGGTCCTCTGGACGCTTCTCTGCAGTCTGAGACAGGGGAGCTGATCCTTTCCCTGAAGACATGCTGCCCTGAAGAGGAAAGAGGAGCATCATATTAAAACAACTCCAACTAAAGTGGAGAAGGGAGAAAAACTAAGCTTTCCTTTCTGTTTCTGTTACATTTGGTTCTGGCTGGACTCACCCTTGTTTGTGAGGATGTGATGCTGCCTTGGTGCACACCCATGAGGGGTTTCTGGTTGCTCTGTGGTGTGCCGTTCCGTGGCGAGACGTACGGTCGCGGTGACGATGCATCTGATGTCAGAGAGACGGGGGACTGACTGGAGTGCTGGGCTGAGAGAGAAAGACAAGAAGATTAGCACAACGTTTTCCTTTGGATTTATTTGACCTCAATCAGCAAATACAGAACGTAACCCTTGATTCATTTTAAGAATTGATCATCAAAATCAGAAATGTTCTTATAAAAACAAATGTCCTGCGATAATCTGCATGCTAGGAGTTTATATCAGCTCACTCAGGAAAAATCTGTTGAACAAATTTGCAGCAAAAACTGGAGAAGCAGCAAAAATAAAAGAGTCTAGAACTATATAAAATAAAAACAGGCCTTTAGGTCAGACTTTTAATACAAATCACTTTTTGTTATTGTGTTGCACCAAATCCACTGTTCTAATAGAGCAGGCTCACTGGAATATACAGTACATTGTCAGGTTGATAACAAAAGTCCCATAATGTGCAAAAACATACATCCATAAGGACCAACTTTAGACATTTGTACTTGATGTGGACGGATCAAACTGCACAAAATCTCCACAGTGTGCACCCTAACCTCCGACTGCAAAGACCTTTTTTTGTTGCCAGGTAAGACAGTGTATGCCTTTTGTGATGACAATAAATGGCTGGAGTCTGGGGCACTAAAGGGATGGCAAGAGTGAGCCACTGTAAACTCAGTAATGGAACTGTTGACTGTTTCAGATTTATGGATGGAAGCTGCAGCTTGGCTCCCAGCCCCCCTCACTGGGACATCATGAGTCAGCTGAAGAGCAATATAGAAACAGAAACACATATTCAATCTGAAACTCTACTTTTAATCACAAATCTGATTGGTTTGAAGAGAAGAAGACCTCGGCTCCTGTTTAGAAACTCCTTATAGATGAACAGTGAAAGAAACCCATGATTTAAAAAACTGGCTGTACTTAAACTAGTAGAATGTATTTTTTGGTAAAGTTTAGTGCCCCTGAAATAATATTATATAACAGTTATACAAGTAGTCTCATTGACTGAAGCTGGTGACAAGTTAGGTCTTACTCTGCAATTTTTTCAAGGACAGGGAGAGCAGGAACCTTAGGGGACATAAAAACACATTTAAATTAGTGTTTGTAGCAGATGGTGAGAAACAGCGAGGAGGCCCTACCTTGGTTGGAGTGCTGAGCAGCTGAGAGCAGAGCAGTGATGTTGAAAGCAGGTCCAGCAGTGAGGAGTTTATGAAGCACAGACCGCAAGGAAGCTTGGGTGACAGCAGCTGCCAAGACTGGAGGGAGGAAAGAGGAAATGTACACACACACACAGGTGAGTTAGCAAGGACGCACAATAGGTGAGTAACACAAACACTTGGGTAGGTCAGGAGACATGGTCAAGATCAGAATGACATCAGAGGGCAGACTGATCTTTTCTGTAGCTACATGAGCTCAATTGTTTAAATGTCATTATGAGACTTCGGTTAGAAACAGCAGAAAACATTCACACATTAATAACTATGATCAAAAACACTCAGATTGGAAAGACATTCCCAAAAGGACATTTCTTTCTGCTCACATGATCAACTACAGAGTGAAGAAGAGATACCATATTGTCCGTATCACAAAAGACGGCCTTCATGCTTCAACACCTGTTGAAACATGAAGCTACAAAACGTTCACACTCGTCACATCAGAAAGTTTCACAGAGATATTATTAATGAAAGGAAAACAGAGTCCTCATCCTTCAAGCATTTTTTCTCTTGAAATTGAAATATCCAATCTGTCACATACTCTCCCATCAGACTCTTTAAAGCAATCAGTTATTTTCTCCTGAGGTTAGCGTTTATCTTTTTTGTCTAATTCTTCACCAGCAGTGACCCCTCTGGTTGACAGATGGTTTAAACCTCCTTGGGTTTCTGCACACTAAACATCACTCAGCATCTACTCAAGAGCCTTTAGAAACTGCTGCTGCATTATCGACAAAGGATCGCCACGGATTCATTTTTTGTATTCAGAAAGTTGCTGCGTGCATGAGAGAGAGCGTGTGAGAGAGTGCAGACGTGCTATGGGCCAGATTTACTAAGCTCCCAATTAAAGAGTGCTAAATTGCGTGTTCACTCCCAAAGTTTGCACGTTTGGTTGGTGGGCGTTTTGCGTGAATGACAACAGGTGCAAACCTTGTGGAGGCGGTAGTATTTAAGTTGGGCTTTCGCGTTCTCTACTGGTTTACATCACGGAGAGTTTGGACAGAAAGCAGGATGACTGCAAGCGCAAAATATGTATTAGTGGGAGTGGCAAATATAATAATATAATAATATTCAGGCAAATATAAATCTGAATATTACAAAGAACATTTTGGTTATAAGAAAATATTAAATTCGGCATTAAACAGGGCCTCTCTTTTCTTCCCTTAATCTTAAGAATGAAGTGTCATACATTGCGCAGGAGGTGCGAGCTGTGTCCTCTGTGGCACGGGCGCTCTACACTCGGGCCGTTGTTGCGCACCAGACAGCTGGCCAGCGCTGTGTCTGATTGGACATAAATGCCCTGGAAAGAGGTATTGAAGACGGGGGTACAAACAGTGGTGAGGTCCCCCTTATCCAAGCGTCCTTCAGAGTAGCAGCAGCGGGCTGTAGAGGGAGGAGACGAGCGCATTATGGAGAGGAGCGCACCAGAGGGGGCGAGCAGGGGGAGAGACGCGCGACCCGAGAAAAAGGAAATGCCCAGTTTGAAATATAATGTTGGCGAAAAGAGGGAAATAGGAAGACATAAATGTCAATGTTGAAATTCTATAGAATTCAGAGGCTGTGAATGTTCAGTTTTGTTTGGCTATATATATGGCAACAATAGCATGTAGTTTAATCATGGTGTCTCTCTTCCGTCACGATTAAAATATTGAATCAAATTAAAAAATAAATGCATGCCATTTATTTTTCTGTCATTTGAAACATGTAAACACTTGTGGGGAAAAACGCAATCTTTATGCCTTGTTTTGTTGTGCCTATGTCTCCTCCTAACTTCAATAACAGCAGCCTGCTGTGTGTAACGCTGGTCTCTTGGATTAGCACGTTCCTTTCAAAGGTGTTAAATTCAGACACCGTTACAATCACCGCATTTTTTTGTCAGGCTTGATAAATCGCAATGCGTGTACTAACTTAACTTGTTTGCATTTTCTCCTCCCAGTATCTTGCACGTTAGGGCAGAAACGCCCCATATTGCATATTCATTAAGGCAAATGTACTAAAAAGGACAATGCGTGTTGTTTTTCTTATTTGAAAGACGCAATCCTCACTGCACGCCGTTAGTAGATCAGATAGCACTTTTTTTTTTAACTGGTGGTATCAAGTTTGCACACGTTTTAAGACACGCAAACCTTTAGTAGATCTGGCCCTATGAGTATTAAGCGTGTTTGATGTAGCTGCAGCTACTTTCCCTGCTCCTCTCTCTGCTGTCTGACTGTGAGCATCGCGGGGCACGCTGAGCTACACCAACATACAGTAGGCTACATTGCTGCACAAACGCACACACACGATGGAGCTCCAGCCACCACGCGCACCTTTTTACTTTGAAACAGCACAAAGTTAATCCGTGTTCCGTACAGACCATAGACTGTACATTTTAGGTACGGACCGACCGTCGGGAACACACGTAATCTGGTCAAACGTTCGGTTCGACTTTACTCCGTTTCCTCCCACCGTGTCTGCTGTTACCTTAACAATAGCAACGTCATCTCACAGCCTGCTAAATTAATGTAGAGGGAAAAAACAAATTTTATCTAAATTATTACCACTATGATGGTGCTTTACTGGCTCTTCACTTCTTCATTCAAAACATGATGCTGTAATCTTTGAAACAACACAAGGTTTTCTAATCTGTCTTTCAATGGGGCCAATATAATTCCGAGGAGACAATACACAGCAGTACAGGGCAGTGAAGGGATGGGTCAGGATTTTCAAATATCTGAATAGTCATTGATTTTTGGTGACCGAACATTTCATGAGAATTTATCTCTTCTTAAAATATATTTTTCTATTATTTTTACAGCACCTGGTTATTAGGGGTGCAGAAATGCAAAATGTTCTCTAATTGATAACGGTCCCATTGTTAAAGCGAGTACTCTAGTAATCGTTTTGTAGTTCTTTTTTTTCTGTGATTCTTTTCCCCCACTGGAGGCCCCGCCCCCAACTATGACGCTATGCCGACTGTATCTATTGATTAATTTGAATCTTCAGGATTTTAATAATTGTTAGTCATAGGCCTACTTTGTATTAACGTTCAAATTAGGACACTTCTTACTTCAACAGACAGCAACCCTCAAATAAAAATTCACGTATTTTATGACCGTTTTAACACTTTATTTTAATTAGAGCAGTGTGGTGAGCGGACGCGCAGACATCAATGCGCACTCATCGCACGTTGAAGCTGTTTTGACAGCAACATTCTGTTAACAAAGACTACAGTCTGCAGTGTAGAGCACACTTTACTCTGGTAAATTAAGTTACAACAGGTGAACAATTTAAGTGTCTGTTCCATCTTTCTCCTCTGTACATAATGACACACTCGCTCAATCTCGTTCGTCTGTCCGCTATGAGCTATTTCTCCCTATAAGGTTGTTCCGTTTTGTAGTTATTAAAAGAATAATCATCTAAAATTCCAAAATATAGGAAAACATCTAATTATGCTGCTCTGTCCTGGATGATCAAACGTCATTGGTTTAGCGGAGTAAAGCGGTAATCGCAAAGTGAAAGTCCTTCTTTTTCTGTGGACTAAAAAGACAATTTGAACTGAACTTTCGTAGATCATATTGCATATTTCGTTTGTTTGGGACTTTTTGTTCATTGTGAATTCATAAAGGGGTCAATTAAAGGGATATTTTTGTTAGGGTAGCAGCGTACAGATCAACAACGGACGCGTTTCAGCACAGAGCCTTTATCAGCCCTTTGTTTGTCAACTATTTTCTTTTTTGCGCTCGTGCACCTTAAGTTTTATTTCTGTTTGAGTGTGCTCCTTTTTTCTGTTTTGAATTAGGCTTATCCTAGAACCCACAATGCAACAAGAAACATTTACAAAAATGCAAATACAAAAACTTTTTTTGTAACCGATTATTATTTAATGAACGGGTACTTGGGTTAGCTGTTTACTAACCGCCATTAATAAAACAAAAGAAGAAGAAAACATTAGCATCAGTCTTCACAAATAGCGGTACAGACTGGGAAGGTGCTGAAAAACATCTCAAACATATGTAGAAAGCATCCCTTTACTTAAGGAACGATCTCAAAAACAAAACTGAGATCAGGACTGACTGAAGACTAAAGGTGAGCGCACAGATCTGGAGGGTGCTGCCTTTAATCTCTAACGTTTTGAAAGTAGCCGCTTAAATTATGTTAACTAAAAGCATACTGTCAGATTGTCAATGACCCTGCTCTGCTCCGCTCACTCTCTCTCAGTCGCTCGACCAATCGCGCACTTTACTCCGCAAGCCCGATAACAGCAGGTGAGGCGACAGAGCGCTCAGGTACAGGAGGAGCTCTAACTATCCACAAAAGAGAGGGTCAGAAATAAGCCGCTGTGGTGACTTCTCATTTAAAGTTGTTTTATAATATGATGTACGTTTCTTTTCATCCAGATGGGATGGTTCAGGAGTTTAATTAGCGGGCCAATATGTGACAGATCCCTATGCATTCCTGTATGGTACACAGACAGACAGCAGCATGTGATGGAGGAAAACCACCGCTGGAGAGTTGTTGCATGTAATGTGGTAAAAGATATCACTGGATGTTCATTTAGATCTATTAGGAGTGTGAATGGGCTGCATACACTTCATTGATAGGTTCAAACATGTTAGCAGCAAAAACAGCTCTTTTGATGGAAAAAGGTGCTGACCCCTCAACTAAGGAGACCACGGCTATCTGTCGATGACCCTTCGAGGTCATCTTCTGTCAACTCACCTTCGTTGAGTTTAGCCATGTCCATGCTGCCGTTGTTCATTTGCAGAGTGGCCTGCAGCGCCGGGAGGAGCTGATGTAGGAGGGCCGGGTCCTGCAGCAGTGCTGGTGACGGGGACTGGAGAGACTGAGGCACCTGTCCTGAGGCGGAGGAAGAGGAGGAAGACATGGTGGAGGGGGTGGAACCTAGAGCACCAGAAGCAGAGTTGATGCTCTGAGAAGTAGAGGAAGAGGAGGAATGGCCGGAGTTGGATGCAGTGGACTGGTCCGCCGATGTGGTCTCTGTGAAGAAGGGGCAGAAACGACAACACAGCATTGATAATCCCCATATGTTCGTATTTCTTGAGTTAATTTAAATGTTTATCCAAAGGTTTTAAAGGAAGGTAGCTTCAATGAGATGATGAGATGAGATTCAACTTTATTGTCATTACACATATACAAGTATAGAGTAACGAAATGAGGTTTGGCATCTCACCAGAAGTGCAAATAAGCAGCAATGTTAGGGTGCTAAGGTTTTATAATGCTGCCATATTTACTTGTTGTGGCTTTGTCCTGCAAGGCCTCTTGTCTGTAGTCCATGTCCCTGGGGAAGCTGTTCGCCGCCATCTTGACTGGATCTTTCTGTCGTTGTTCCCTGAAACAGAATAAACAAAAAGCAACGGTGACGATGTACAGGATGCATTTCAAGCCTGCACTCTGAGATAATAGCATTCCGTAAAAAGAGGTGCACTGCTTGAGCTTATGATGTATGACTAAGCACAAGACAGATCATCTCTATCACTAAGTCTTTCACTTTATTGATCCAGTAAGTGGGCTTACCTCTCCAACAGGTCCTTGGGCTTCTCCCATTGGGAGACCTCAGTTCTACAGTTGTAGTAGTACTTCTTCCCAGAGGAGCTGATGTGTTCTGTCCAGTCATCCGCCGGCTCCTGGTGCAGAGAGAGACAAGACACGAGATGTTAGGGGTTTGAAGTGGAACTGTGATGAGTCAAACAGAAGTCTGAAGAAGATGTAAGCTGACGGCTGACTTTATAATCTTTGAGATGAGGTAAAAAGTTCAAACATTCTTTAAGTCGGACAAATTTAAACCTATTACAAAGAGTTTTCAAACGGTTATGTAACAGTCCCAATTTAAAACCCAGACCTCTAAAGGACCTTAAAAAGCAGAAAGACCATTAGCTAAGAAGATGATACCTAAATTGTGATTTTAATGCCTCTCAAAGCTACCAGATATTCTGACGCTGACAAAGCTTTTACATTTGACTTTTCAAAGGAAGCAGGAAGAGATTTAACCTTATATAATATCACACACACATGTACAGGACAGGAAAAGTAAAGAGGCTGGAGATACAGCTCGGTCTGAAGAGGACGCAAAGATCAACAGAACCAAAAGTTCTTCACTGCTGCTTCAATAAGACCCTTTTTTGGGTCACGCTGTATGAACATTAGTAACATCCCTCACTTTATTACTTCATTCATTACTGCACGTTTTAAACGCTACATAAAAGAGAGGAAAACCTGTCACTGCTGATTAGAGCGAGCCACTTTTCACAGAGTCTTTGTTTTGGATTTGAGATGTTTTGTATGGGACTGCTTGTGTTATTGTTTGAATTGTAACAATGTAGAGGACGTGATACATTATTGAGATGGATTTTGATTTGTTGTGCTGGTAAAATGCCTTTAGAGACATTTCTAGATGAGGAGAAGAAACACTATTATAAAAGGTTATTTTTAATATCTCAACCACGGAATGTGTGATCTGTTGCACCGTAGTGAGCAACAACACATTGAAGATGTAAACACTGCAGCACAGTTTGAAAAATCCAGTGGCCACATCTTCACATCACAGTGTGCAAGTTAATGTATGTTCCTGTAAGGATAACTGCATGATTTAAAAAAAATGACCACAGCATGAAACGTGATAATGTCACAATTATATGAACGCGTCATCATAAGTCTGTCATCCTTTAGGAAGTGAACATCTCTCACTTTCCACTCTCAATAATGGATAAGGTGTTTCCAGTCTGTACTCAAGCTCGTGAGTTCAATATTAATGTTAATGCATTTACTGACAATTCTAGAGAATGTAGTTCATCCTGTTCTCCTATTTACCACTGGACATAAATCAAAAAGGCAGATTTAGCAGAGGGGGCTTGAGTTCCATGATACATTGTGTCTCACTTTCTCTCTCCACAAAGCAAACATTAGAGGGTGCTATTTAAGATAAATATGGGCGGTTGCAGTAACAGTAGATTATAGCTGGGTATGAATGAGATCTAACAGAAGGGTTAAAGTTACAACATTCACCACAGCAACAAAAACAGTATTTTCAATGCAAAAATGAAGTAGGGGATTCCACTTTGGCTAGTTTTGACAGAAAAGGCACATTAGTGTGTGATAAAACTACAAATAACTGTGTTTTATCCCTGTTATAACAAATCTGCTTGTGAGTCTTTGTGAAAGCAAACAGGTATTTGTTGTGGTTTTTATTTAATATAGACTGATAGGCAGTAGCTCCTACAATAATGAAAACTGCTCTGGGCTCCTGAACCTCAAAGCAGGGCAGAGAAGGACAGAGTCATAATCATCAGTCGCTTTATACCAGCAAGAGATAATCTTCACTCTTAAATCATCTTACAGCTAAACTGTAAAGCATCTTGGTTTCTGAGGGTTCTGAGGGTATGTCACTTTCCATGCAAAGTTTGTAACTATAAAAACAAACCTGACTTGAAAATGTGTGCACCAGTAAGCAGAGTCTGTCCCATGCTTACATTTATGACTGTGAGGTGGTGACTTGAAGCCAGATTGTATATTGATGCCTTGCAAACATGCAATTTCACCCAAAATTGACCAGACCGGTCAAGACCACCACTGACAGGCTATTTTCCCTAATCTTTACTGTGATTAGAGAAAAAAACAACGGAAAACTTAAATTCATTCATTATTTGATTTTTATCCCCCGGTTACGGCTGCAACCTTCCCGGTGTTACGGTCTAAGTGAGTGACACGCCCTTTGAACACAAGATGATGATTTTTCAGTGATATCTATGGTCTTGGTCTTGTCTCGGTCTTACCCTGCCCGTCTCCTGACTCGATCCCTAAATGTCTTGGTCTTGTCTCATTCTCGGAGCACACTGGTCTTGGTTAGTGTGGTCTTGACTGCAACACTAATGCCTTCTACTAGTGTGCATATATCACTGCTACATAACTGTAGTGTATAGTACACCGAGACACTGCTGTAGCTCCTTCACACAATGCCTTCTCGTCAACCAGCACATCTTCATCGCCTACAAATGTATTGTGTATATGAGCAAAGTAACCACAGCTCTTACACAAACATTATGTATCCTCATATAAGCCATAGTGCAAGCTACTTTTGCCAACCAACAAATGATTGTGATACAATATGTGGATCTTGATTAATAGTGAGAAGATTACGTGCAGGTGTGCCTACCTGAGGTTTATATGCCAATTTCAGGTTATTGGCTTTTGTACATTCTTCTTGTGAATTCTAAACACTGTTTGCCTTTTTTTGCAGCATCAAGGTGCCGCTTACACATCTGTCAGTTACCGGAATTGGACTTCCCTTCCTTAGTTGTCATCGTTGGTTTGTTGGTAAAAAGTCAGTTATAACACCAACTGGACCAGAGCTAATCTGCAACAATACATCATTTCATCCCCCTTGGTCAAGGTTCAAAATAACCAATTTAAAAGGGATGAATTCATCCTCAGTCTCTTTCTCTGACATTATTCCTCCTCGACCTTCTTTTCCTCAAATGTATTTTATTTCGGCTGCACAAATCTGACAAATTAAGGGAGAGCTGCACATTTTTCAACTGCTAGTGGATTTGGTAAATGCCAACCCAAGATTTCCAGGTATTCTTTTTATGCGCGTATGACTTAATGATAAAATTGTTGTTCAATCTAACTGTCATGATTACGAGTTTCCCGTCTACAAGCATAATAATATGTTTGAAATAAAACTATGTGATTGCTAACGCATGTTCGAACAAGATTACCTGTCTTCATCATGTTAAAGAAACAACTGACAGTCAGTGTCACAACTACTTTAAATAATCTGTGTCTGGTTTTATTACTCAATCCAACTAGCGAAAAATAAAAAAAACATGATCATCAATTCCCATAACAAGGAGGTTTAATCTGATCAGACCATCTTCTCTGAGAGAGAGATGCCTCGACATCATGCCTCACATACCATGATCCAAAGTAGTTTGACAGCAAATTGTACACGAAATCCTGAGGGTATATGATCGGATAAAAGTGGACAACATCTTACCCTGTCTGCAGGCTTGCTCTGAGTCGCATGCGAGTCTGAGCCGTGGTGGGAGCTGTTGTTGTGCGAGTTCTCCTGAGGAGAGCCGCTGGTCCCTGCAACAAAGCCATTTATGAAGTGACAGGATATACACAGTGTTCTGCAGAGGACTAAATCTTCAGTGACAGCGACAACTGCCTTCATGTGTAATTGTTTTTGGCTGAAGTTGTTTATGTTTAAGTAGTAATAGCTGTGATGTGACCAGATGAAAAAACAATTTCAAACTTGATTCTGCTCTCAATGATAGTTTTGAGGTCAAGGTTTGACTTTCAGCAAACTTTGCACCCATATCTGATAAGGGTGAGAGTGATTTCATAACCAAACAAATTCACACAGTGTGCCAAAATTCTACAGAAAAGGAAACTTGATGCACTGATATTCATCAAAACCATATGGTGAGTTAACCATATGATTCACTCTAAGCTGAGGCTTAGAGCCATTAGTGTGCCTGCAGCTCCAGTAGCTGGTTTTCTTTTAGTCTTTACTTTTGTTTTTGCAGGATCACTGTGTTGCCTTCTCTGTGTGCTACGTCTTCAAGATTAAATGCAATACCGATCCATACGTATGACCACCAGATCTGGGCTTACCATTTTTTCCTCTGACAGTGTGAGAGGTTTTTGCCTTGCCGTGTCCTGCTCCGTCTCCATGCCTGCTGACAGGACTTTCGTCTGAGCGCCGCAGCATCTTGTAAGGGGGTGTTGGGTCAGAAGAGCCATCACGCACCTTGTCATACCGGTGAAGGCTGCTGGACTGGCTCTTTGGCTGAGATTTATGGGTCTGGGTAAAAGACAGCATGGTAGAGAGAGCCCTTAAGAATCGCTGAAGCTTTCTGACATGCCATTCCCTTCATGCAGATAAAGCTTACATTAACTTTTCAAATGAAATAAAGTGTACTTTACTCTTAGGACAATTAGTGCATTCAGTACTGAATCTATTACCACTGATCAAAAATACCTGATAAAAGCACAAACTACAGCTCGGAGTGGAGTGGCTGAATGTAACGTCTTATGACTCATTCACTGGAGACGATTGATTCACAAAGATTATATCACAAAATGATGCTTCTAAAGAAACACACCAGGACTACCGATGAAGCATTGTGAAGGTTCTTCTTACTCGTATTAGTAATTTATATGAAGAATAAATGTGTTGAACTATATCATTTCAAACGCTAAGTCTACTGAACTGTGTTTATTAAAACTTCATCTTTGTTGGATAAATATAACCACATGGAATTTGGCTTTTCAAGAACGACTAAACACGGGCACATTTTCTGTCTTTGTGGTGCATTGGTTGATGGAGGCAATTGAAAAGTTTGTAATATCTGTATTTAGTGCTGTTAAAGGGTATCTGTATGGTTTCCCCGTCTTATCATGTCTAATCTATTATCAGCACAACATGAATTTAATATAAAATCAAACTCTCCTTGAGGGCATTTTACAAACTGCCACTATAATATTCTCTAAGAAATGTGTTGTACTTACTCTGATGTACTTCGCTTTGGATAAAAGCGTCTGCTAAGTGAATTGTAACTTGTAATGTGTTGGTTTTTTTTAATAGCCATGTAGAGTTGTTGTTTGGTATTTGATATATTTAGTTTTAAATCATTCTACATTATGATTAAGCACTAATTTGTTTTGGACTCCAACTAGAGCTGGATAGGAGAGACCAAACTCATCCAACATAGTTTAAAATAAATGTTTTATTAGTATTCAAACATTAACATAATACACCCTCTTTAGTTAGCTGATTGTGTGACAGCTATGACAGCTGACCGTCTACAGATGGATTATAACATACCTGATAGGATTGCGAATCCCTTCTGTCGTTGCACCTTTGGGGACAAACAACACTGTTAGTATTTAACATTTTTCAACCTTTGCAAAAACACTTTTTGTACACCTTAGCTAATTAGCCGTTAGCTTAATTAGCTTTATTTTACCACCTTAGCAACCACTATTCTGTCATCTTGTTGCTGTAGTGACAAGCAAGTTTTGTTTTAAATATACACAAAACAATATCCATGTGTATGCAGGGTTTCAAATGAACTTTTAGTGAGCTAACGATTCGGCTAGCTACAGGAAAAAAAAAACCGACGAGGCTAATAATTGCTGGCTGTTCTCGCTAGCTGGTAGCATTGAAAGCTAACAGATACACGAACACTTCGCCTACAAAAGAAGTGAACAGTACGCACACGCTACTTCATTTTAAGGTTTGTGCTTAAATTACCCATCGCTGACTCTTGTTGGTTTCCTTGCATACATCACCATCAAGGCCGAGGTGATGTATGTATGTGTTTGAGGGGGAACCGTGGCCTCCTGTCTGTCTGCTTCTCTCACTTCTCTTTTCTTCAGCTTCCTGATCTCTACACTCTGCGGCCGCACAGATACCTACAAGCCGAACACCGAGCACCAGCACTGCATAGCGGGTGGTCTTTATTAAAAACCACCCTCAGCGCATCATCTGACATGTAGTTGCGGTATGCGCTTGGCTTGGTCGTTGTAGCTCAGCGGAAAAGCAGCAGAGTTAGGAGGAAACGGAGAAGGCGAACTCATCTGTAATGTTTAGCTGGAGAAGTGGAAGTTCCGGTTGAACCTTTCGAAGTAAAAGCGCTATCATTAGATCGGCTCAGAAGAAGAATTAGGTTTATAAGCGGATGAGTGTTTGTGTCCAGACGAGGAATTTGACTGCGATTTAAAGGTCTATTAATATGAATACAAATGTTTGTGAATTAAAAAGGGATAACTATGGAAGCCCGTTTCCGCCAGTAAAAAAAATAAAAATGAAAATAATAAAGTCTCATAATTTCACTTTTTTATCTCATTATTTTGACTTTTTATCTCATTATTTTGACTTATCTCATTATTATGACTTTATATCTCATAATTTCGACTTTATATCTCATAATTTTGACTTTTTATCTCACTATTGTGACTTTATATCTCATAATTTTGACTTTTTATCTTACTATTGTGACTTTATATCTCATAATTTTGACTTTTTATCTCATTATTATGACTTTATATCTCGTAATTTTGACTTTATATCTCATAATTCTGACTTTTTATCTCATTATTATGACTTTATATCTCATAATTTCGACTTTTTATCTCATTATTATGACTTTATTGTTTTCATTTTTATTTTTTTAACTGGCGGAAATGGGCTTCCATAGCTAACAAATCCAATATCAGTTAATAAAAAACCTCATAAGGTTGGCTGTTCAACAGGCGCCTGGTTCTGCTCTAGGTTTCTGTCTGTTACTTTGATAAATATTGCTCAGTTGTGCTCATGGTGGATTAATGTTTGTTTTTTCAAAGTAATTATAAAAAATAATTATCAATTAAATATTTCCATAGTCCCAAAGATGGAAACGTTTTTGAACCTTTGTTTTTTCGAGAAACAGTAACCGTATAATATTTTTAATCTGTTGTTTTTTTTTTTTTGTTTTTTTTTAAATGTATAACACATTATCTTTTGAAAACGCCAAAGCATACGACGAATGTGAGATTTAATTTGGATGTTAACTCTGACTAACTCTGCACTATTATTTTGAAGGGAATAGCTTCATTACCGGTCTTAGCTGTCTCTGGATCACGTGACGCAGCTGAAAACGCAGCTAGTTGCAGCGGACTCCTCCTCCGCATTCACATCTCGTTGGCTGACTTTTATGAGGGACACACCCACGGTCTGTCCGCCGGTCTGCTCTACCATTAACACCCTATGGTTAACACTTATATTCACATGATATTCACTATTCCTTATAGCCTACGTTTAATGCTGTCGTCATCTCCCGATACAGACTTCGCTGGTTTGTGGTCCCTTTGGTTCTTTGGTCAGTGGGCCTTCTGAACAGGTGAATCATGTGCTGCATTCAAGTGCTGCTCGGATGATCCAGTGATTTCAGTTCGGAAAGTCGGAATGTTGTAACAACAAAAAAACAGCGTTGATGCTACGAAGAAGATATGTGGAATATAATATAGACTATATCATTGCTATAAAAACAACGAAAAACAGATTAGCAGCTCCTGTCATTTGCAGCACACTCAGACAAACAGCACACACAGATGGACGGTAAGACTGATTATGTAAAGACAAAACAAAAATCACATCATAAGAAGCAAACAGCAGAAAAGGCTCTGGAAAAGTGCAAGTCGTCCAGAGCAGCTGTCAGGTTCTAGAAAAGCGCAAATAGTGCAGAGCAGCTGAAGTGGAGTCTTTGCTGTGCTTCCCCCACTTGGTAGGAGATGTTTTTGGACCAGGTGAGGTCAGCTGAAATGTAGACTCTCAGGAATTTAAAACTCTCCACCCTCTCTACCTCCTCCCCCTGTATCCAGAGGGCAGAATGTTCAGTGTGTCTTGTTTTCCTGAAGTCCACGATTATTTATTTTGTTTTTATTTGTGTTTAAGTCCAGGTTGTTATGAAAGCACCACTGTACCAGGTGTTGAACCTCTTTCCTGTAGGTCGTCTCGTTGTTTTCAGTTATCAGTCCTACTATGGTGGTATCATCGGCAAACTTGACAGTGGTGTTGGAGGAGTGGATGGGAGCGCAGTCATGTGTAACTGTTACAAATTATAGGCTATTTGAGCAAATAGTTTATGTGCAATAGGCAGGCTAGGCCTAGGTGAATTAATACAAAGTATGTTAACCATAAAAAAACAGATTTTCCCCCCATTTGATGACGATTCTGTCAGCAAGTCGGACACCTAATTCTTTTCCAAGGGATTGTTCTGACTTGAGCAGGTGATGTGCACTTTACAACTCGGAAAATGGATTTTCCGATGTGTCCAACACCACATGAATGCACAAATTATCACTAGATTAATCACACAGCAAACATTTACAGTCTATGGATTAATCACACAGCAAATAAGTAAATTCATTTAAATTCTGAACGATTTCCCCCTCAGAGGGGTCAGTGGTCAGGGTGATACTGTGATACTGAACAGCTTCTTGTGTAAGTATTCATTAGCTCGCACAGGCTATCTCATTCATGTAAGATTAGGTTAGATTAGATATTGTATAGTCCACAAGGGGACATTTTTCTTGAGGAAAAAGTGCAGAGAAAACACAAATTTATGTGCAACTCACTATAAAAGAGCAAAACACAGACAATACAACAATAAAAACACATGAAATATTACTTAGCCAATTGAATGAAGGAGGATAAAATAATGCGACATGATACAACCGCTTCAATTTTTTTTTTTTAACTTCTTCATGTGATAGATGATGAAATCTATGAAATCTGTGTGAATGTAGTAGTAGTATTAAGTGAACTGGTTCAGCTATGTTTTTTGAGTGCTGTATTGATTGTCTGCTGACTCGATTTAGGTCAGCCCTGACTCATATTGACTGAATAAAACCGACAGATAGAGCCCCTATCTAAACAGTTGTTTCTCTCGACAAGTGGATGTTTGTTAGCAGCTCATATTAAGCTGGAGATATTAAGAGGTATGGCCGGGTCGAACGTGGCATAACAGACAGTGTGAGGTGAGTATTAAGTTGTTCTACATTTTTCCACTCTTAAAATGTCTTTATAAAGCTCATAAAAACGAGCTGTACACTTGTTAACTGTACTTCAGATTATAGTTGTTACAGCTGTTATCAGACATGTTTTTGTTTTAAAACAATATCCTAATTTATTATCAGCCAGTGAAACTTTCAACTACTCTAACACAGAATACATGTGTTGATATTTGGTTGTGTGTCTCTACTACGGTATTGTTAAGCAACATCAGTTACTTTATATTATAAGTGCCTTTATGTTAACCTGATTGTAATACTTGAACATAGAATGCTGAGTATTTGCATGCTTATTTTCACATTGGTCATATAATCTCAAATTGTTGAAAATAAATAAAGACATAAGGTAAACCTATATTTTTGTGTGTAGGACATCAGATATGTATCCTTCAGTGAGTCATGTTTCCTGTCATTGAATGTAATTTAAAGTCAGCAATGAGCCATTAATCATACAGGAATGTCACGTTTAGTGTCAAAAAGAAAGAAAAAGAAGCCTGAATATCATCGATAATATACTGACTTACTCAACTTGTTACTGACATGGCATTAAATTCATATTCAAATAGCTTTTTCTGCTAGGAGCTCCGTTTGTTTAAAAGCATCTGTGCGTATACAGTTTACATACACAACAACGTACCACACACAAATCAGATTCAGTCTAACATCCGTATAGAGCAGTCACCAGTAACGCTTGTAAAACAGTGTGTGTTGAAATATCTCATTCCAGCATTAGGTGGCAGTAATATCTCATAAGAAGCTGTACAATATGTTTCTCTCCTATCTCTGATCATTCTTCACATAATAGTCTCACGTTTTGGTCTTATTCCTGACTGATAAATTTGTCCAATATTTCAGTTTTAGATCAAGGACGATGCTGAGCTAAGTAAAACACAGAGATACCTCCAAAATATTTCAGGTGAATCTGAAGTTTACCTTGTCACCTCCCTTATCTGCCAGAAAGGATAAAATACAACCAAATATGAAGTTCTGATCCTCATCATCAGGATGTCTTTTAAAGGCTCCCCCAACAGTTTCTTCATCACACCTTCAATTTAGCCTTTGACTTCTCTTTTGGGTTCTTGACCTTCTAACCTTACAAACAGGCTCTGTAAATCACTAACAGGTGCAGGTGGATGTGTGTGTGTGTGTGTGTGTGTGTGTGTGTGTGTGTGTGTGTGTGTGTGTGTGTGTGTGTGTTCCCTGATTCGCCTCCTCCAGGCCGGTGCATTCTGCGTTCACGAGTGATGTCGGAACCAGAGATTCATTCAGACAGAGAGGACGACTACAGGTTTCTCCACAGCATGCTGATGGAGAAGAAACTCCATCTGCTCTTTAAGGTCAACACACATTTGATTTGTGCCGTATTAATGCAAATCACAAAAAAACAAAAGTCTTCAGGTAGTATGTGCCCAAAATAGATGGTTTAATATTATAAGTTTTAAAAACTTTTAAAATACTCTATAACTCTATAACTCTAAAAGCCGGTATGTAAAAATACAGAGATGTTATCAACACAAATACAAATTTAATCCAAAGTAAGAATGTTTTATGTGCTTTTATTAAGAAAGGTGAATCCCTGTCAGTCACACTATTGATTCTAGCCATTTACAGTTAATACATTAGTAATGCATTCACATTCAAGTGGTAGTTTAATGTCACAGTTCATCAAGATTGACTTCATTTAAACTTCTATATTATATACACTACCTGTTAGTTATACTTATAACAGGGGTCATTATCTAGATGATGATGATATTGTTAATAATTATAAAGTACAGTTACCTCAAAATTAATTAAAGTCATAATTAGTTTAGTCAATCTATAAAGTTTATTTTTTTTTTTTTACAAAAAAACAGGCTACATAAAAGAAGTTGTACCTGATTTAAAAATCAAAGCATTTATTGAGAAAGGTCATGAATGAGTATTTAGCAGTTCATTAATAAAGTTATTATTATGTTACTGTTACAGAAAATGACGTGGCAATTAATGATGTTCAATAATGATTAATAATGCATTCATTTTGTTATTTTAACATTAGTTTGTGTCAAATACAATCTGTTGATGAGATTTTTGGGGCCAATACCGATATCGATATTGGGAGAGAAAAAATCTGATGCCAATATCAGGTAATATCTTTCTTAGATCTATTTTGATCTGTAGAGACATATAGATATAGATATTACACATTTTAAAGACATTCATACAATAACATTCATACTCTGATTAGATAAGTAAACAACTTATTGACAGTTGATAGTTGCTCACATTGAAACACTCAATGTTGTTTTAACTATTTGTTGGTGATATCCTAATGACTTGAAAGCGTAAAAAAGTTTTAACATCTTAAATTGATAGAGCAGACTTGTTTTTAACAGACTTTGTTTGTAAATCATTTTAATGGTTGTTATAACGTTTCAATTGCTGATATTGATACCTTGTGAAATGTTTTTTAAATACTTTGAAACAAACTTTTAAATGTTATTTTCAAAGCCGGTAAATAATTGGTCTTTGAACATTTGTATTTATTGGATGTTTTAAAAAGTTGCAGCCAAAACTCAGTAGTTTACGTCATAGTCCTGTTAACCTGCAAGTATTTAAAAAATGCATTCTGTTACATTAAATTGATGTTACCAGCAGCAGAAATATCAGTAGTAGCTGTTTTTGGATGAATAGTCAAAGTAAAGTAGAAAGGGTCTTTTTCTGCATCAAAAAACTTTATTGTGATAGGCTTCTTCTTCAACTTGGCAGATCCATGAGCGTTTGAAGCGCTTTGAGGAGCGATGCCCAGTCCCTGTCCAGGAGAACGCAGCGAGTCTGGCCTCAGAAGTAAGTGACTCCCTCCAAACGTCTTTTACAGAAAGACACAAACGACAGTTTGACAGCAGGGGAAGCAGGGAGATGGATTTTTTTTTATCATTCAAAGTGATTCCTCAGATATACTGATGACTTTCCTGTCTCACAGAATCACAAGAGGAACGTACATCCTGTCTCATGTGTACTGAATGATGAAATGTTAACTCAAATCTCTATTACAGTTTGAAAGGCAGCGTTTCAGAGCAGATATGATTTTGTATGCGTGTGCCAGGAGTACGTCACAGACTGTATAGCCGAGCAAATGGTTGCTAAAATCATTTAGTGTGTAGTCTGCACACTTAACATCAGATATAAGATGAAGTGACAGTAGAGAGTACTCCCACTGATGCTGCGAGTCTAGATCAGTCTCTATTCCCTCAGATATGCATCGCATTACATTTACCAGTCTTCATCATGTTAGCAACCATCGCTCCAATGTTTCCATTTCATACCACTGACTTCTTTCTAGTAGTATTCTTCTACATTCATTTCCTGATTTTTCCCCCTCATATTCCTGGGCCACGTGTTAAAGAAGCATGTTCTTCTTACATTTTTCCCTTACTCTATACTTCCATCCTTTCACCAAAGTCCCTTTCCCATTTCACGGTTCTTTCCCTTAACTCTCCGGTTTCTCTCCTGTTTCAGTCTTGTGTACTTTCACTTTACCCTATTTAAGGCAAATTAAAGTACTTTGTCAGAAGGGCCAGATTCAACAAAGAGGTAGGTGCCAAGGGGCAAATGAATTATCAATGTCAAACTGCTAAAGCTATGAATACAAATGTGTTAACAATTACGTCCCGACCGATATGGGGGTTTTTGGATAGATAGACAGACAGACAGACAGACAGACAGACAGACAGACAGACAGACAGACAGACAGACAGACAGACAGACAGACAGATAGATAGAAGACAGACAGACAGACAGATAGATAGACAGACAGACAGACAGACACATAGACAGACAGACAGACAGACAGACAGACAGACAGACAGACAGACAGACAGACAGACAGACAGATAGATAGAAAGACAGACAGACAGACAGATAGATAGACAGACAGACAGACAGACACATAGACAGACAGACAGACAGACAGACAGACAGACAGACAGACAGACAGACAGATAGAGAGATAGATAGATTTATCGGTCAGGCTCTATTAATAATGCACATTTTTAATCCTGAAAGAGAGGCTGCTTTAGTTAACAAAATGTTGGACATTTTTTTCAGTTTGACTCTCCCAAATCTCTTTTCTTTTTAATATTATGATTGACAACATACACAAATGATTGGAATTAATTGCCTAAAAAACAAAACTATATTTGTTTTAATTAAACAATGTATTTAACAGAAAATAAGTTATGTATCTTAGTCTTAATTGAGATTGTTATTTGGCCTGTTTTGGTCGTTGGATAGGGTTACCATTTTTATTGTTACTCCTGCCATGTTCCATACTGTCTATCCATCCCTCTCCTCTCCATCTCCTTACCCTCTCCTCCTTTGCTCCAGATTCGGTTCGACAGCGACTCTCTGCCTGGCTTAAATCATCAGGACCCGCTGTTAGGGCCAAACCATGCGTCTGTTTCCCCTCAGAGAGGCTTCTGTTTGCTCACAGTGGAAACTAATGACCTTCATGCATTGTGTCTCTGGAGTGTGCCTCCACATCTTGAAGCAGTAGAAGTCATTACAGTGATCTGCTTGACAAGACGGGCGACTGCACACAGCCACTCTCCGCCTCTTCGCTTTCCGTCGACGGTCAGGGCTGCTCTGTTTTAGCTGTCGCCGCAGCTGTCGTGTAGCCTTGAACATTAGGGAGCATTTTTCCAACAGTGGCTAAACGACAAAAACCAAAGAGAGTTACATGTAACACAGAATGTTAACATCATGAACTAAAACGCAAACTCCCAATGAGGTGAAGGGGTTGTTACAGAAATGAAGACAGTAATGTTGACAGGTCACGCTAGTCGAAGTGGAATTTTACTCTTCTTGTACGTCTCTGCTTGTTTCTCTGACTTTTTTGGCCAGTTACAGCGTATTCTACAGTAACCTCACCCAGGCCATGATATAAATGTGTACCTCTAATTATCAAAAATCTAACCATCACTCCTTCTCTTTTTCTCTGCTTCCAGTTGGCTGAGGGGCTGATATACCAGAGTTGGAGAGATGAAGCCAAAGAACTGGTTGACCTTGTTTCTAAACCCCATTTTATGGTGAGAAAGTATTTTCTTTCATGTTGATGGTTTTCTTGTAACAAACTTACACGTGTGTGTTGACCATTACTCCTCCAGCCAAGTCCTTAGTCAAATTAAACTCCCTGATATTTGTACTGAAGAATTTTGAATTCTTAAAAAAATGTTTAATAGTTTTGGAAATGCTTGCTTCTCCTGCTGAGAGTTAGCTTAGTAAATTTACAACACGTTCATGTCTACAATAAATCCAAAGCTACGGAGAGAAAATAAATGACTTAATAACAGGGGAAATGATATATAAATAAAACTAGAGGGGAGCTGTGACCTGGCATGTCAGCAGCTTCCAGAAAACAGCAACTAGCCACAAACCTAGCTGCTGCCATATTATTTTTTACACAGTTTTACATCTGCAGACGTTTGAATAAACTATCCAGCAAGTGTGTTATCATGATTTCAGTAAATTTGATTTTGACAATCACAGAGCAGATGAACCTCACCGGCACACTGAGGTCGTTGACCCCGGGTTTGGAACCAATGACACTCAAGAAGGAGATGGATTATGTTTATGAGCTAAGGACAAAAGACGGATCAATGACAGATTTAAATTTCTAAGAAATTTCATAGTGCATGATGGGAAAATGCTAACTTTGCTTTCTCAAAAGGTACAGACTAATATCTGTGAATAAACACTAAATACGGTCTTTGTATGAATTAAACAAACCAGATATAAAGCCTAAATAATAAACCCTAACCCTTACATTTCTTGTGATTATATGGGTCAGGGTCTGCGGGTCCATTGTATCCAAGTACCAAGTATAATTCAGGTCAAGGGTTTGGGAGGTGTGGGAGGGCAGATTTGAGACTTTTAATCAGATCTAGGCTTTTACTTCCTGTTTTCAGCTTTTATTTAACGATATCAAATACCACACACACTTTAATGTGCTATCACTCCTGTCATCCTACATCTCTTTGCAACTAAATACATAATAACATTTCTAAACATGTCTCATAATCCCCTTACATCTTAATCCCTTTAATATTACTACACAAGCAATACACAGTCTCCAGTCTGTGCTTGATACAGTTAGACTGAGCAGTGTTGGGTTTTGGGTCACTGAAGCAGATCACTTAATTGCTGTTCACATGTATCTTTTTTTTTTTTGCTTCCTTGTACTTCAGTGCCTCAGCAGATCATTATAGTATAAGAAAACACCTCATGAATGGTGTGGTAACATGTTCAGTCACTCTTATTGAAACAGCTAACACAAGAGCAGTAATCTGAGCTGCTAATTCTCATGCTGTCATGCTCCATCGGCGCTATTCTGAAGCTGTTTTAGACGCTCGAGCACATCAAATGTCTCGTAGTATTCTGTTTCCTACATTCTGCTCTTTTATGGGTCACACAAAGTGACAAATTTGTTCAACTGTAAATTGGATTCAACTTGATTTCACCTCATCATTCTGCCTGCTGAGAGGTGCTGACATCTTTTAACCACACTGGCACTGAAGCTAATCTACTCCCTAGTTATGTTTATTAGTGTTCACTCATGTAGAGGCCGAGACGACTCAATGCAGTTTTCCTTTTTTTCTGATCTGCTGACAGTCATATTTCAGACACACAAACACATACACAGACAGACACACACACACACACACACACACACACACACACACACACGCACGCACGCACGCACACACACACACACACACACACACAGACACACACACACACACACACACAGACACACACACACAGACACACACACACACACAGACACACACACACACACACACACACACACACACACACACACACACACACACACACACAACACACACACACACACACACACACACACACACACACAGACACACACACACACACACACACACACACACACACACACACACACACACACACACACACACACAGTGTAGATTTTTCCAGTGAGCTGCAGGAGTCGTAGAGTTTCATAATGAGGAGCTGAGGCCCTCCGAGAACTAACAGGTTTGTTTAAATATTTTAATGACCAGTTTGTTCTTGGCTTAAATGCAGGAGCTCACACATACTTTTAAGAGACTCAAGGTTTAATATTCTGTAAATTAATGTTTGTTTTTTTGAAAATCTGTCTCTGAAAGTGGCCAGAGACACATTGCTCACGCGTTGGCAGTTTCTAAGCAGATCAACTGTTGACGGACCCGGGATAACAAGTAGACTAACTGACAGATGGATTGGCTGATTGTTAAAATTAAGCTGATGAGCAGATGTTCCCCTCCCTCGTCTCCTTCTTTCTTATTACAGTACATTCCCTTTTATTGGATTTGCACTCTTGTCCAGAAGAGGACCGATCCAGAATATTGTTTTTCTGCAAACAAACCTGGAGTTTTGACTCTGCCAAAGTTAACAAATACTGAACTTAAATGAACTGTCTGGGCATTGATAGTCAGTCATATATCACTTGACAGTCCTGCTTTGGAGGGCTATATTTTTCCCAGACATGTGTGATGTTTGAGCCGAGCCAGTGTGACTGCAGACAGGCTGAGTTAGGCGTGTGTGGGGGGTTCCTTTCAGGTGGCCCACAGGCTGGCAGTACTTTTAAAATTATATTAAATTTGGAATATTTGTATGGGCAAAAAGTACGTTTTTGACCATAAAGAAAGGGCTGCATTTGGATTAAAATGCTTTAGTGAATGAAGGCCCACCAAACTTTTTGCTCATTCTCAAGTTAATCACCTCTACAATGTCAACGAGGATTTTGAGCTTACTGTAATACCTAAAATGTGACGTTTAAACAAAGATACATTTTTTACACTGTACACTACATCAAGATACAGATTTCAACAACAACACACCAATTTCAATTTTGTTTGAACTGAGGAAGCTACAATCTACTTTGAGGAAGATACAATCCCTAATGTCAAATCTAAGTGCCTTAATGCTGCTGACTGTAATTCCTTTTTTCATGTACAGAGTTTCCTGTTTGTCCATGACTCTGTAGCTCAGAGAGACTTTGAGCCCACTCTGCCACCCATACCTGATGACGTCCTGGACAGCGACGAGGATACAGTCAAATATGTCAGTCTGTACAAAACCAAAGAGCCTCTGGTCAGTGAAAACACCATCACGCTTCAAATGAAAAGTAAAATTAAATGTACTGTATTTCCTGTTTAGCTTAACTCAAAAGCTCCACATTTTACAAAATACACTTCATTGACTTCTAACTGAGGGTAGAGTAGCAGGTCGAGACACTTCCACTGTCATTTATGTTCAGCGCTAATGATTACATGAGGTTAGCTTAGCACAGATAAGCCCCACAGACTGTATAAAACAATCTCATTGACGTCACTCATAAGTTTCTGAAGCAAACTTTTGAAGCCCATTGAATGTGGTCACCATTTTGAAATTGCGATCTCAACCCAACTTTCTAGCCTGACTCTAATGATTATTTTATTACACATAATGAGATACTACCATAACTAAATATATCATGTCCTATTGCAAGCTTTGCAGCTGTTCATACACATTTATTTATTTTTTACTTTGGACCGAGGCAGAGGTAACATGTTTCTCTTGTTTCAAATCATTTCACTAAACCAAGATAATGACCTGCCAACTTGAGCCTTTTTTTAATCGGTGTACATCAATCCCTCCTCTTATCTAAATCTCACCAAATATGACAAACAGCAATATTTTCCAAATGTTAAACTATGGCAGAAAGTGTATAACCTCTCTGGTAGAAAGACTAAAAAACTGTGCTAAATCCATGCAAAAATAAGTTTGGACCATTCTCACACATCATGACTCAGATAAACAAACTATGTCACTAACATGATCCTGTTTTTCACTCCATGAGAACAACTGTCGGCCTGTTTCTAATTTGTTCTACCTAGCTGTGTAATGTGCACACAACCTACACAAGTGTAGGTATTTCAGTTAAGACAACCGTGTAATAAGGCAACTACACTTACATGTACAATTTGTCCTGCCACAACATCTGACCAGCACAGGCAGTTCAAAGAAAAAACACTATCCTGAGGTTTCTCTAGCGACTGGATTAATGTCATGTTGTCAAGCAGCGTGACTGCTAAAGATGTGAATGCCAAAGTGTAGCAGGTCTGCAGCTCTTGGACTGGATCTGTTCCTGCAGCAGCCTGGATCACCTTTGTGTCTGGACTGCTGCTCACTTTCCTCAACCAGGAATTTACAGAGTCAATTCTTCCACATCTTTGTTGCCATATATCTGTTGTGACACGCAGCATCATTTCAGCATTCATGTGTGTGTGTGTTTTGCACTGCTTTAAAATGGGTTGGAATAATTTCTCTTTTGTTTCTAAATCCCGAGGTCCCATATCAAACCTAGTATACTTGATACTACCTGACTGGTCTGCCTGATTCCACCTTAATCCAGGCCATTGTCCCTTATTTCTGGGATTTCCTGGATCAACAGAAACTAGACTGGAAACTAATCAGAGTACAAAGGCTACAAACCTTCGCCAAGGCTGCTAAATCCTTCGATTTTCTATTTCAATAACAAAATTCAGTTCGAAAAATGCTCGTGTATCTGCATGTGGATCAAGGTATCCATAAAATACGTATTGTGACAGACAGCTGCGAGGTGCATGTGCCAGATTGTTTTCCACTAAAGCAGGTCCAGCAGTTCATTAGAAAATATCAGAAATAATCAAAAATGCATTCACGCACACAGTTAAAATTCATTTTAGAAATTCCTGGATTCACATCAAAAGTAAGCATTCATTTCTTAGCATGTGACCTCAGTTTTCCACCAAATTCAATTGAAATTTTAGCGATATCTTGCTTACAAAGCGACTATCATATCCCCTGCAGCAAGATGAGTGAATCTTTTATTCTAAATAGAATATGATCTTAATAAAATAGGAACATCATTTACCCAATGATGGTATATTATTTGCAGTGTATACTGTATGTGTGTATTTATATGTGTGTATTTGTTTTAGCTTTGAAAGGGAATTGTGCATGAGCACCAATAATGGAGAACATACTTTTGTATTGATCCCAACACTAGATTGGACGGGTGGCTGACCTTTTTCTGACATGCTCTCTTTGATTGATCCAACATGTTCTAGTTTTCCAGACAACAGCGTTACACCCGAGCGTGCGCTGATTGTAGTCATCTACATAAGATGCTCTTTCCATTGCGATTTGCTTCACATCAATAACATCTGTTGAACATAATGCTGATTTGGATAACCTTTTCCAGAGCTCTGTGTTTTACATGAAGGCAGCTGGCTGAATGTGTCCGTGCTGATACAAATAAGCTTCCCCTGGACTAAAGTGACTCTTAATATGTCTGCACTGTAATGAAATCAACATGTTATTTATTTTACTGTCCAAAAACTTCAACCCTTGTTTGTGTGTTTTTCTCTCTATCACTTATTCAATAATCTCTAACCCCAAGGGGGCAACTATTAAGAGGGATAGATCCACTGGGGCGATTGTTGTGGCGAGGATCATGAGAGGAGGTGCTGCTGATAAAAGCGGTAAGCTGAAAAAGTCTTGTATGAAAGTTGTATCCATTCCTGTATCTTTAAATTAACTTGTACTAGTGTGTGCATAACAGATTTGTTTGCTTTGTATTTACATTTGTATTTCCAACATTGTTAAGGCCTGATCCACGAAGGAGATGAGCTTAAAGAGGTGAATGGAGTCTCACTGGAGCACAAAAAGCCAAACGAAGTCCTTCCTCTTCTGGTCAGTCTCACCTCCACTGCTCAGTGCTTTTCTTTTCAAATGTTTACCTAATTGAGTGACTGTTCCTCTTTTCTTTTCTTCTCTCCTTGGCATTGTTTTTTACTTCCTATTGTCAGCAAATACAGAGCGTTCACCAGTCCACCTATCAATATGAGGAATGTTGCTAAAACATGAGAAAACTGTTGTTTTTTTTACTACTTGCTGTGTAATAATTGTCATGGGATGCAAGGTGACGTTAGTACAGGAGAAGGATGGAGTATTTTGATGTTATTCACTTATGGGAACCTTCTCAGCATGATTCTGAGTCACGCAAAGTTCTCCTGGTCTACACAACAAGATATCCAAGATGGTTGGCAAAGCAGTTTGTCGCTACAATGATAGTTTTTGCGTCATATTGGACTCAGTGTCAATGAAAGAGTGGAAAATAACATTTTGTCAAGCATAAAAGACAAGGTTTCATTATGTGTATGACAACTGCACAGGTCGCTCACTGGTTCTTGTGATACATCATCATCACCTCCTGCCCCCCTGTGGAGAATGTTCCTAACTTTTCAGCTCACCCTGACTTCATGCAGAAAATTATACTTAGGAGCTGGCATGAAAAATTAAGGGGTGAAAAATGTGGCTCTTTGCATTCCAGATTTCAGAAAATGTTCATGGCTTTTGTGTGTGTGAATACAGCATCCTGTAAAGCAATAACCATGCACTTTGCTTTGGTCAGCATAAAGACAGCGAGAGGGCAACAAGGAGCAAAAGAAGAAAAAGAAAATACAAAGAATGTTACTTTCTTTTACACCTTTAGCACAACAAGTTTTGTTCAGCTTAATTATACAAAGTAAAGTGGCTGGTAGGCTGTTGTTCTTGTGTTGGGACCAAACAAATCTAGACATTTCCCCCCGTGCTCTCGGTCTTTATGTCATATTATTGTTATCTAACTTCACATTTACGCTATACGGCTGCAGAGAGGTATCATACGTCTCATCTAACTATCTCTGAGAAAAAAAGAAGAAGATTAGAGCAAGATTATTCCCCAAAGCTTCAGACTTCTCCTTGTGTTGTTCTTGTGCAGGATTGTTCTCAAGGTGAAGTGAAGTTCAAAATCATTCCAGCCTCATCCAGCGGAGAAATGTCACCACATAAGAAGAAGGTACTGTAAATATAAACCATGTATAATCCGTGACGTGTGTATTTTAATGTGAGCATGCAACGTTGCTGCATTTGGAATGGCTACCCACATGGTTTCAGTAAAAAGGGATGAAATCAGTGGTATCTTGTGTGTTTGGCTTTTATTTTGTGTCTTTGCTACGATGCTGTAACTGCAGCAGCATGATGTCAGGGAGTACTTTTATAATATCAAAAAAAGACTGATCATTTTATACTTATCACATGTCTGGCTGCAGACACTCAACAATAACACTCTATTCATCTTATGTTTTATGTTGAAACATTGAACTTACAGAATCCTCTTTTGTTTAGATTTCTCCGACACTATCATCACATACATGAAGTGGATGTCCAAGATGTTGGAAACAGTTAGCGCAGGGAGCATTTGTAAAGGATTATGATGAATAACCTTCTTTCATCACGGCCATTATTCAAATAGTTACACTAACATATGCTTAAATGCATCGGACAGGGATGTTGTTTCCAACGGCAGGATAGAGAAGGGGTTCCCTAGCTGCTGTATAGAAAGACACGGACATTACTTGTATTGTCTTTGTCAACTGCTAGTCGTCTTTTAAGGCTAAAACACTACAAAATACTCTTTCCTTAGATGTTCTTGCGGCCTCTTTTTGATTATGATCCTCTTGAGGATCCTGCGGTTCCCTGTAAAGATGCAGCATTGGTCTTTAAAAGAGGCGAAGTCCTCCAGATTGTCAGTATGGAGGATGACACCTGGTGGCAGGCCTGTCACCTCGGGGACAGCGGCACTCGGGCAGGACTCATCCCCTCCAAGCAGCTCCACGAAAGGTTGCTCATCTTGCTCCTCATTAATATCTTGATGACATTATGTCCAAATGCTGTTTTGATTTATTGTTGTTTAATTTCCGCAGGAGAGTTGCACTACAGCGACCTAAAGCTCTGTTCAGGCCTCGACCAGTCAAACCACCAGGTGATGAGCACAACCTTTTCTCCATAAAATCAGCACACCTGAAAGGAATAAAACCTTTTAACACTTTCCAGTAAACACATTCGAGGTCCTTTAGTGCTGAGCTGAGAGGTGACAGGTCACGTCTCAAGATCAGGGTCATGGTTGAGCTCTGCTGCCCTGCTGTTGTACTCACTGCTTTTGTTTTCTCCACATGCTGCACAGATGAGGGGGAAGGTAATGTTTTTGTCTGTGTGAATTTGCTCTGGAACACTTACCTTCTGCATAATTCAAATGACATGAAAAACATGTACTTTTTTTGTTTTGGTTAGAAGTCTTTAAAAGATTTATAGAGGTGTGTTATTCTAAAACAATAATAGTATTACCTCAAATGCATCACATTACAAAAAGGGAGAGTATTCTGTTAAATGTTCCCTTGTTGTATCCAAGCAGGTTTTAAGTATCTGGCCTTCTACTGTGTGTTAGTTTCTCAATGGCAATTCCTGAGAAGGGTAGTTCTTAATTTAAAAAAAAAAACTTGGTATGACTTATCGATAAAACTATTATTAGAATTTCCAAAGCATATAGAAAGATACATAGATGGATAGTTATTTAGTTAATGTGGGTTTGATTCCATGAATTTCTAACTCTCTTCTCTTGTTTTTCCTTTTTATTTGATTGTTTTTCAGTCACAGAGGATGTAGACTACAGAGCTATAACCGGGATCCACATTGGTGAGATGTTGAACTTGTTACACTCAAAGTTTCACTGATACTGGGAAATACTGTTGATCTGTATGAAACAAGAAAGTAAAACTGCAGACATTTGGACAGCTCAAAACATGCCTATAAATATGTATTGATCTTTAATACAGCAAAAACAGGGAGAAATTACACTGTAGTTTTATTCAAGTATAAATATTTATAAACCAGTTTTCATGGTGATGTAGTTTTGTGGTTTTAGGATTTGTGGGAGAAAACTGGAACAGCAAATGTGGTTTAAGTCATTGCATTTATTCTATTGGTCTTGATCTCATGGATATATGATGGATATCAGCAGTGCAGGATGATCATATGGTTCATATGGGTGTATGCATTTCAGACTGATTGTTCTTTACATCTGCTCCGCACAAGGTCATTACATATTTAGCATTTTATCAGTTCTAAGTCTCGGCTTTAATTAACGTGCATTTCATTTGATCTCAGGCCAGCTTCCACCTCACGACATGGTTCAGACTCTGTGTTCCCTCTTTGTCTGGCATGTATTGTAAACTTACTGATGCTGCATGACTAACCCACTTCATGCAGAGTACTCAGTGAGTGAGATAGAGTCGTGCTGTGTGTGTAGATACACCAGAACAGGCATTGTGAGGCGCTTTCTTGTTGTGGGTTAGACTAGATAAATACCACCTCCTGTCCAATGGCTAAATTGCTAGAGCCACCAGACAGTTAGCTCCACCTAGCATAAATACATAAATTAGAGGGATGCATTTCACCCCTGTAAAACAAAATGTATTGTTCTTACAATCTTTTGTTTTTTGATTCAATTCACAAGACATAAGCATTGAGAGGCATCGTTTATGGGTTTTTTTGTAAGAGCAATTACTGTTTTCTTCCACTTGCGAAGCTGTGCTCTAAGGTAGCTAACCCGTAGATTATATTTTAAAATCCCCTGTGGATTACAACAAAAAATCGAAACGTTATCTTGTCTCAGGCTTGTGTTTTTTCATAATCTTTTGCGTTATGAAATATGTGAAAAACTGCATTAAAATCAATGTTCTTTCTCAACTTAAAACAAACATTTCTGATGATTCACGGTACTACAAGCTAACTCTGCCCTTACGACATTTTATAAAGTTAGCTTGTGATTAATCGTTCTATGAACAACGAGCAAACCACACTCATTTCTGCTTTGAAACGTTAAGCTAAAGCTGGCAGTTCACACTGTTAAGGGGCAAAAGAGGAGTGCACACAAGCACAAATCACTAGCGCTAGGATTTGCTAGGAAGTTGCTAGGAGACCGAAACGATATTGTGAAAATAGTGAATCCTTGGATGTAGAGTATGTATCTGTCCACTATTAAGTAGAAAGCCCTGGATTTTCTTTCTGCTGAGGAGGAGACGAGCAGCAAAAAAGAGGAGGGTGTGGGTTCATAAAATCGTCAGGGCATGACTGGATTTGGGGGAGTTTAGGCTCGCCAGGAGCTACAGCTTCATAATGGCCACTTCAAAATCGCAACACACATTTTTACAGCTTTTTTCAACACACCTGGTACGCCAAAATTGTGCAAAATGTCTTTCTAATCTTCTTCTTAGTTTTTATTTTTAAGCTAAGCTAAGCTAAGATAATCAGCTCTTAAAGCCACAGATAATAAAATACACAAAAATCTAGATCTAATTTTGTCTCCCTGTGTTAGTGAGTTTATTTCACTGTAAAAAATGTATTTGAAAAAAGTTAATATTTGAATTACTAAGATATACCACAAGCTAACAATTATCATGTGTGTGCATTTGATAGCCATTGGCAGAATTACTTGCTAACCTGCTTTTAAATTTGAATGTTTCTGTCAAAAATTGTTGTTTAATTTTAACAAAGTCCATTGGAATTAAAGAATAGCCTAATATAAAACTCCTTCAAACACTACCCTATATACTGTATATATACACATCCCTGAAGTTAAGGACAATCTTTTCATCAGTGCACTAATGAAGAAAAGTCATAATGGAATCAATATGTAGTTGTTTTTCCAGATTGTTGAACTATTTCTTCTGATGTCAACACTGAATTATGATGTGCCTCATAAATGCCCTAAAATATCTTGGTGAATTTGTGGATTTTATGGTACTTCTGAGAACCAAGGGTTTTGGTTCTGTATCTTATAATCCTGGCATGAAAGGCTCAGTCGCATTTTTTACTGCATGTCACTCTCTTCTCAGGCTTATCTCTTGTCTATCCATTTTTTCATTCATTCCTGTAAGAAAAAAATCTCATGTAGCCTTGCCAAAAAAAGAATAGGTTTTATGGATGAGAGCACTGTGACAGAGGAGAATTTCACTGCCAACATTATTTTAGATTGACAGTGTTTTCCTCTAGATCATACGAGAGGATTTTTCCTTTACTGTCTCACATTGGTTTGTTAATCACCTTTTACATTATAAGTGAAATCATCAGTACATTTCTCATGTAAACAAAATGTTTTAATCTTCAATCATACGGCCCTATTTCTTAGAATGAGCCTGGAGAGGAAATGGACAGATTTGCTTACAAAGTGAAATTGCAGCTGACGTCAAAGAAAGCCTGGCAGCATCACTTAGCAGCAGTTAACTTCATAAAAGAGAACGTGCCTGCCAAGCCAGGCCAGACCACAGTCGCATGGCAGACGATTGCTGTCAGACGGCCTTCAAGCGTTGTATGACAGACTGTGTTGTCATCTCATAACAGGGGTTTGTGTTGCTTATTGTAGTTCTTTGGTGTTGATGGCTTCTTAGATGGTGTTGTAATCTTTTATTCTGCCTCTCTTTTCAACTGCGGCCCAACCCTCTTTCTGTTATAGTCATTGGTGCTTTTGAAAATGGTTCTAGATTTCCCACTTTCAATCATGTTGAAAGGATGTTGAATCATGGAATTTCAATAAGTACTTAAGTAATTAAGCCTCACATTTCTGAAGAGATTATTAACATATTAAGGTATAAAAGTTATCCAATAGGTTTGATAGATATACATAACTGGTTTATTCAAAACTAAGACTAGAGCAGTGCAAGTCACACAGTGCTTAACAGAACTTCAATTTTAAAAAAAATGAGTCAAGTTATTGGTCCAGTCACTGTAAGGATAAAATGTATTAGCGTAAAAATAGTGGAACCTCTAGGTCCAAAAATATTCTGGTTTCTGTAGTTCAAGGGGTATCCACTACAAGCTTTTCAGAGTGCTTAGCCTGCATGAAAACAGTCCTAGTAGAGAGCAAAAAGGGGAGACACAACCAGACATAATGCAACCCCAGGTACCATAAGCAGTCATCTTACGACATTCTCGCTTCTTGCTGGTTGTAAACAATCGCAATTCACAAGTAGGGAGACTTGGCCAGACGTCCGTTCCTATGACCTGCTGGCTGCACTGAAAGCCTTGAAAAGTTGGTGGCTTGGAACAGAAGCTACATCATCGTCACAGGATACCTGATGGGTTGTGGAATTGCAAATGATGAGATAAGTCAGTTTAATGAAGTGATATCTCTGCAGCTGTGGTCTTTACAGTTTTTTAAAAAAAAGCCTAAGTCCTCTTTGTCCAAGACAATTACATAACCAATTGAAAAAGGGTTTGAGTCAGAGACAAGACTGAGATATTAAAGTGGTCTTGAGACTGCTCTTGAGACCGACGCAAACCTTCAGTACTACAACAGTACTTCATTTGTCAATGATTGGTCCAGATATACTGTTGCAATGCAGCGATGTAGGTCTGTTAATAGGAGGATACTCTTTAGTTTTTACGCAAGAAACCTGACTGGTCTAAGATTGCCTCTCTGTTTTTAGCTGGTTTAAGAAGAAGCTTTCGGCTCGGGAGAAAGAGTAGCTGGGCCAGAGAAGCAGCACGGGCCAAGAGGTGGAGCACAGGCATACACAGAACATTTACTGCACCTACCTACATAGAGGTGATCCCACACTACAGAAACTCCACGGACAGACACCGTTTGGTCGCACTGGTTGGTATGTATGAGCTAAACTGAAGGAAAAAAGCAAGTTCCCATCTTGTACAATTCAAAAAGCATGTTTGACTGGTTCCTTTGCTGTTAGCCAGTCCAATATAACATTGTTTAGAAAATACTCTTAAGAAAGTACAACATTTTGTGGTCAGTTGTGTTCTGTTTAGTGTTATCGCACTGTTTTCCTTTGTCCTCAAAATCAAAATAACGTGATCCTATTCATTAAAGGACAGCATTATTGAAGCTGCATTTGATCAAAAGAAAAAGTATTGCATTGATGAAGATTAATGCTTCAACTCTTGAGTACATGAACAATTATTTCCCATCAGAACCACGTAAACACTGTCAAAAAAATTCTACGGCAGAATGTATTATGTTCTCTTCCGTTACATTGTGGCCCACCCCAAATTCAGTTCTCTGCCAACCCTGCAGGCCTGCTCTATGTATTTTTTGAGCTATATCTCTCCCCAGGGAGTTTTACATTTAGTCTTTTTAATGTCAGATTATGATGCAACTGTTGGTCACCTGTGACTGTGGGTTAATGGAGAAAGTAAAGAAAAGGGGAAAATAGTAAAACTGGAAGGCTGAAGGAGAGAGACACGTTGAACTGAAGAGGTGCAAAATAAGCCCAGATAGTAAAGAGATGAATGATAGATGAATGGAGCGAAAGGGACGGATGGATTATGAATAAGACCCCTTATAATGTCAGCCAAGTTCTCCGTCATCAAACTAGAACAGTAAAGACAGCCTGGATTTACATTTAAACCTCCTTAATTGCGTTTGAGCTCACCCCGACTCTGCAATACATTTTACTGTCTACTGTAAAGGCTCTTCATTGACTGAAGAATATTCAGCTTACTGGTGATGAGACCCTGGGACAGGAAAACTGTAGATTGCTATAGCAGGACCTGCTATAGCAATAATAATGTCCGACCATGAAGGTTAGAAACATAACCTTCATTTGGACTTTAAAGCTCCTGTGAGGAGTTTTAAGCTGCTTATAAAACAAAATCAAATGAATACTGATGCCACTTAATGACCTACAAAAGCGAAAGAGAACATCAGCATAAACACTGACCACTTCTTTATTGCTGTTTTTAAAGCCTGAAACTGCTGCAGGGGGGTAGGTGTCAGATGAGCTGGTTTACAGCACACATTGTAGAAACCTTTATTTACATTTCCCACAGCAAAGATTCACAGTGAGCAAAACATTGAGTGAGCAACAATTGTTGATACTTTAACACATTTACAGGGCAAAATTAGCAATGAGATGTAATGTACCACTTTGTCTACAGGGGGCGCCACAATCAACACAAAGGAAAAGTTCCTCAAAGGAGCTTTAAATTGAAAAATGCCCCAGAAAAATTGGTGGCAGTGACCTCTTTCAGACATACAGATTGAGTAAATGTAAAAAAAAAAAAAAAAAGAAGAAGAAACTTCGGAGAAAGTTGCCAAAGAGCCCTCCTCTCCAGTTCTGTGGAACAGCTGTGGAGGACATCAGCAGTGTTAGAGCGCAGAGTCCATAAACTTGATATTTTGTAATGTATTGAGCTCATGCAAGGCTATGATGGAAAAGGCAGGTATGTCAGGAATCCTACTTTGAGACGGCGCTCCATTAGAGTCTGATGCAATCTCATGGTGCACAAACCTGAAAATCCCATATGCTACAGAGTATTGGAGTGTGTATATTGTTGCTCCATCCTGTGCGTCCTACACTTTAATGACACTGATACTGTGTGGCTTTGCAGATGTCACATTTAGATGTGATGCTATGGATTACCCAGAGGACAGGGGAGTGTTTTACATTCAGTTTAGTGAAAAAAAAAAAATCATTTTCAGACTAAAATCACGCAGAAATCAGACCTCTGTCTCGCTGACTCTCTCTCACTTCTTCTCAAATGATAAAGACAGATGTGTCACCAGATCACTAAGCCTATTCTATGTTAGACTTGTCGTGAGGAAAACATTAGTGATTTTGATCTTGGTCTCCAGGGCCTAGCGGCGTTGGCGTAAGTGAACTGAAGAGGAGGCTGCTGATATCCGACCCTGACCACTATGGCGTCACGGTGCCGTGTAAGACAGACATCTAAAACCCTCACCTTTACCTCTTGAACCTAGTAATGGTTTCTCCTCATTGAAATCTGTATCAGTCCCCTGTGTTTTTCTCTTTAAGACACCACACGTGAGAAGAGGAAGCAGGAGAAAGACGGAGTGGATTATCATTTTGTATCCATTCACATGTTTGAAGAGGATATTCTCAATCAAAGGTGCTGTTTCTTAAGGTTTCCATTCCCAGGATGTTAAAAATAGTCCCACTGGTGTTGTGTGCACTAACTCTTCCTCTCTACCCTTTTATGAGGGTAATGTCCTCCTTTTCTAGTTGTGTCTGAGTACCATTTTATGCTGTCTTATTCTCTTTCCTGTCGGTTTCTGTTTCTCTCTTCCAGGTTTATAGAGTATGGGAGACACAAAGCACACTACTACGGTACTAGTCTAGACTCTGTGAACAGAGTGATGGCTGAGGGCAAGGTGTGCCTCCTGGATGTGCACCCTAGTGTAAGTATCATTTCAGAGAAGCTAATTAAATGTGTTTTATGTAGCCAACTAAATTTGGATGAATTTTCCAAGAAGGGCATATTCTAGCCAAAATTATTCATGTGTTCCTGGTAAATCATTCAACCTAATAGTTTTCATCAAGTGACTTGTGAATGTTTAAATAATAAAAAAAAAATAAAGTCTCAAAGGGCACCACTTCAGTGTTAGGTTCCTGGCAGCAGTGTTTCCAATTGACCAGGCGCTCCATCAAACACGGAATTGGCAGTAGTGCATGTTGGGAAGACAGTGTAGGATCTGATGCTACCAGTTAGTTAGTGCCTGAGTAAGGATAAAAAGCATTTACATTTACATGTGGTCCACCCTTACAATTAAGGTCCACACTGTTTAACACTTTATTGAAGCTCAGGCATCAACTATACCTTCAAAAAAGACTATTGTTAGCAGTCAGTATTTGCTAGTGATCACATTTGACTTTTGTGTCCAGACATGACCAACATGTCAGCATGGCTTATAAGTGGTAAAGATGGGGGTGTCGGTAACTACAAAGGCTGGCGATGCAGCTAACAAACACGAGAATTACAGCAGCTGTATTGTTACTTGGTAGTATAGGACTTGACAATCTCAGCGACAGAGTAGGCCCAATGTTATTTTTCAATCTGGATTAGACAATGTTTGTTATGCGAGTTATTAAAAAAAGAGTATAAATGAAAATTTTAGCATCAGATGTTGATCAGTGGTTATCCAAATTTCAACCACTGACTTAGATCTGATTGTGCAAAATGAATATATCATTTTTTTTTCTCTCCAAATGTTCTGAAACCATTTGAATTTAATCTGGATCTGACAAAACACAACGTTTGGCCAATTGTCTAAACAAGGCCCATGTGTATTGAAAGAGGCACATACTGTTCTTTACCCTCCTCAGGGGGAATTAAATGAAGAAAGGGAAATCAAATGAAAAACAATAAAATAATAAACATACTGTATCAGTTCTGTTGTACTCTATTGATCTGTTGCATATTACAGCCTGTACATTATTAAACAGCATGGAAAGTAATCCCTCATGGTTCAAAGTAAGAATGTTTTTAAACCAATTTAACCAAGCTTCAACATTCCTCAGTAGATTGCAATCTCTAAGATTGTGGAAATGTACTGTCAGATTTCAGTCAATGTTCAGAACTAGTTTCTGTTGGTTGAGCCAAATGAAGAAGATGATATTAATACTTTTTACTATTATATGCTACTTATTGTACCAGTAATAATTACTTCTCCGTTTATCTAACCTCTTTATGTTTGTGGTGTCACATAGCCTAGCGGTTATGTCGTGCCCCATGTACAGACGTGTCACAGAGGCTGTGTTTTCAAATCCAACCCTGATCCTTTGCTGCATGTCATACTCCACTCTCTATCCTAATTGTCGTCATTTTCTAAAGGCAAAATTGGGTCCCAAAAAACTCTAAAACCTCCTCCTGTTTTTCTTTGCCACAATAGAAAATAAAGCACGTGTACACGTCTGAATACAAACCCTACGTGGTGTTTGTGAAGCCCCCACGCATCGAGGAGCTACGCCTCACCAGACGGAGAGCTAAATTCATCTGTGACGAAGAGAACAAGAACTCAGTGAGGATCTTCTCAGTAAGAGAAAGTTGAACACAAAAATACACTGAACACACCAGGTACATGTGTGAAGTCAGGTGCTTGTTCCATGTCTTGTAACATGCAGGGCGGAGTGAGGTTAAACGCAGTGGTACACCCACCCTACACCCATAGAAAACTCCCTTACTCATCCCCACACCTTACCTTACACATGGTTGACCCTGTGGTTTGCATTTAAGAGACATTTAAGAGACAGGGGAGTTACAAGCTGCTTGGTGGGTGGCTTCTTGTTCCATAACTTAACATGTAAGTGAGTGAGGTGTTCAGGTGTCTCCAAACAAGCAGGATTTGTTTGATGGCTGACATATTTCAGACATAACAAAAAGATGCCAGATAACTCTCATAATCCCCATCTGGCTTCCCACTCACTGTTTGACCCCATACTGCGCGATGTTGCCCTTATTAAACCCACCAGGTCACACACCTGGTTTGCAGCCAGGATAGAGTTTGCCCACTGCTAAAGACCATATCCCTTAGATATTTCGAGCATATCTTTCAGGGCTGTGCGCGCAACCCGTACTACAGCTGTTGTAAAAAGTCCCGCTCTCCTTGACTGACTCGTTGAGCATGTAACAACATTTTATGCCTCTGTATTTACAGATGAACGGCCATGTGGATCTGTTCCATGTTGTGTTAGGATACAGTATGTGCAGATTATGGAGAAAAGACATGGGAGTTTTTTTTGTCAGCATATGGTCAGACTTCAGCTGCAGTATTTGTGTAAGCCCCTTTCACGCACTGCACTCCTGAACATTTCCTGACATTATCCCATTATAGGTGCATGTGCAAACAAAAATGGCTGAATCTGTTCCTTTAAAGTCAGGGTGAGTTGATGTTTGAACACAGCAGGTGATAGTCAGGAACATTTATTGCAAACAAATGGGCAGCACAATGAAGGGCACGGTTAGCTCTTGTACATAATGTCATAATCCAAAACATGCATGACTTTATGTTATCATGGAGCGTGCTTAGTTTACAAGACAGGCAGACTAAAAAAAAAAGTTTTAAGAAAGGAACGTGCGGTCAGTCCGCGTCCACACTATGGAAAATGACTACATTTTTTGACTTTCTGGCTTATTTGTTGTCATTTTGATAAATCCATAAGGATTTCTTGAAAAGGGAAACATGGTATCGATTATACTTCATGTCCATGTTTTGTGCCCGTGTTTGTGCCGTGCTGAAGCACACCTCTTCCTTCCAGGCCAGGGCCAATGAAGTGTACCGTGCTTGAGCACAGAATGGAGCACTCACAAAGTCCAACTAACTGGACACATTGGTACAGATTGCCTAGTGTGAGTGCAACCTTTCATGCACCACCCCCTTCCCCATCAAAACCTAGTATTTCATCTGTGTTTCATACAAGTATTTCTACTTAGGAGAACACATACAAATCTCCCACTGTAAATTACATATGTGAAAATCTACATCTGACCATTTTTGGACAGCGATGTCCCGGAATTGTCAGCTGTGAAGTGTTCTTAAGACTAACTATAGCTTTTTTCACATATGCACTCTTGAAAATGTCTAGAAAAACAGCCCCTGAAATCCTCCTGTGTTGGTTGTTTACTCATAGCGACAGTCTATCCCTGTCGGATGGAAGGGAAGGAGGGGGTGGGGGGGTGGAGGGCTCTCTGGAGGTTAAACATGACATAAAAAAATGAAGCAGAAGTGGCAGATGAAGTAACAGAGTCTGCTATATGACAACTTAATGACAAATGTTTCCTTAGTATCCTTAGATTGATACCTGTATATCAGCACTTATATACATAGAGATTGCATCAGTCTTAAATGTATATTTTACTCAACGGTCACACAAATCAGATTATAACAACAGGCTGATTGACATAGTGGAAACTAAATGTAGCATCATGTTTCTAAGGGTTGTTTATCCTGGTTTTCTCGTGTCACAGGAGGAGCAGTTTGAGGACATGATTGACTCAGCTGAAACCATGGAGAACCAGTGCGGTCACTTGTTTGACAAAGTGATTGTTAACGGTGATATCGCTGTTGCGTTCCGAGAGCTGAAGGCCGACCTAAAGAGGGTGGAAGAGGCAGACGTCCAGTGGATTCCTGCAGAGTGGATTTGCCCCTCTTCTCCAACAAAAGCACGGAGAAGTTGTGGCTATTTGGGTGGCTGGATTTGAATTTTGAAACCACAAAAAAAAAGAGCAAAACAAAAAGAATTGTCTTAATTTCTATTCATAAACATTGAATTTCTATCATATTTTGTTTTCCATTTGTAATTAAGTCCTCCCACTACCACAGTTTTCCATAGTGTCCCCCGGTGTGTATAGAATTAGGCAAACAGAATCCATCACTCTCTTTCTTCCTCAGGTTGTCTTAGAGCCAGTTTTTCTGCTGGCATCAAGCTGAAATAACGTCGACTCACAGGATGGAGGAGACGAAGAAGTAGGGAAAAAAGGAAACTCTCCAGAGTTTGTGGCTGAGTGTAATCGTCCCCTGCCAAGTCGCAAACATCAGCATGTAATTATTCTGACAGCTGCTGCACTTCAATTAACTGTAATGTACACCAGAGAAATATTATTAGTAGCAGCCAGGGAGACATGCTGCCAACAACAAGCTGAACAAAATAAGGACAGACAGAAGATAACAGTCGATTAAAGACTGTGCAGGAAAGAGGAGGAAAACCTGTTTCATGGCTGCATGTTTCAGGATTGTACACAACGGCGGCGGGGGGGCTCTCAGTTTCCCTCCGGAGAGATAAAACGTCATCAAGTGCAATCTCAGGTGCCCTTCCAATCAAGGTTGGAAATGTACTTTTTCGCCCACCTGCCACTGAGGCTGGTGGATTTAAAAATTAACCAGCCAATCTTTTTTTTACCAAAAACTTTACTTTGACCGGTAGCATAATGTAATGATGTATAATATTATAATCAAGGCTTATATTAATTGGGTATTTTATGGAAGGAAATGCTTCAGCTATTAAAGAAGGAGGAGAGGCAGGATAAGCAATCATTGTTTTGAGATTGTTTCTGCTGGAAAAAGTGAGTTATATTTTGTGCTCATGCATAATCCAATCTTAAGGTATGACAACACCCTTCACCTCCCAAATCTTAAACATTTTAACAATGCACTATTTAGCACCTTAATTTTCTGCATGCTGAAACCCCATGTCATACAGATGGTGCCCTTTTTATTTTTTCCGCCCTGTGCCCTTCAGCAGCCTGAGTACGCTTCTGCACTAGCTGCTTAATCTAATTCTTTTTTAACCCCTGAATTCCTGTACATGCATGATGTTTCCTTCCTCTTCTTGGACGCTGTGCTCAATTGGGTGTGAAGGAGTGTTAATGTGTCTATCATGTCGTGTTTTGGGGGGGAGCTGCATGATGTGGGGAGACGGTAATTACTTTCCAGGGATTTTTGCCTTTGCAGACATATGGAGAGAAAGTTACGACGGAACATAAAAGCTTACTGTAAAAGCATGTTGAGGCTCTACACAGTCTATTAGGCTGCAGGGATAAATAGCATTAACAAACTGACCTTTAGTTTGTTTTATTTCACTTTAACATGCGTACTGTCAGTGTCAAACATAACTGCATACTCAAAGAAGACAGAAGAATAAATGGATGAGTGCAGATGCAATCATTGGTGTGTCTACATGTCTCCTGTGCAATAAAACGTAAGAAACCAGACAGTCAGGTCGGCAGTCGCACTTCTGCCAGGCCCGAAGCTCGAGCTCTGCCAAAGCGTGGCAGTATAATTTCATCGCACCGCTGAGAATCTGCAGGCACCAACTGAGATCATAACCATGCCATTTAAGACACCGGAGTGGTCCAATGAAAACCCGCCATTTTATGTTCGCTGCAGCTCCCGCTTCAAACATTACACAGAAGTATGATGTCAATTGGTCTCGAATAATTTGGCTCACTCACTCACTGTCTATCTCAAGTATGTAAAAATAAATATGAGTGGTGTTAAACAATATCTTCTTCTTCTCATGAGATATTCAAAACTCTGAAACAATCCTCACAGTTAACCACATGCTGACAGTATATGTGAGGTACATATACAAACCTAAAGCTGGCAGGGAAACGTTTTCAGCTCATTTTAGAGTACTGTTCACTAAAAAGTCATGAATTCTTCCAGGTGACCATACAGTGATTACAGGAAATACATAACAATTTCATTACAAAGAAAAAGTTGAAATGGTAAGAAATAAAATGTTCTATTGCACAACTCAATCCCCTCCAGGGTTTTGTTGTAGAGGCTTAGTCGGTGTAGGATTTGACACACGACTAAATGAGTGCTGCTGTTGTGGAACCAAAATAAGTTACTTAGCTCAAGGCTGTCTGTTTTTTTTTTACCTGTGAGGGAATGCCTTGTACATTAGCATTTTGCTAACAATGGCATGTTCACATTATGTGTTAACTTATTGAATTGAATGTACATGATCTGTCCCTTTCCAGATAATAATAAAATATGTAATTTAATTATGAAAGTCAAAAGAGAAGATAACAAACAGGACTCATTAAAAGTCATGTTTGCTGTATTCTGTTAGTGGACAATGGTTGGGTCATTTTAAGGTCACTGTTTTTTTTGCTACTTGGGTAGCAAAGTCAATGTGCAACATTGTTTTGATTTATTTTGGGGCATTTTGTGTCTTTATTGGAGAGATAGGACAGTGGATAGAGTTGGAAATCAGGAAGAAAGAGAGTAGGGAATGACATGCGGGAAAGGGAAGCCTGCTTCGAGGACTAAAGCCTCAATTCATGGGGCGTGCACTCTAACCACTGCGCCACCAGTGCCCCAACGTCCAAAGTTTTTTTTACAGACTTGTTATAGTTTTATAGTGTGAATAAACAAACTTGGTTCATCCTTCTTTTCATCTGTTAACATAATATGTTTTACCTTTATCTCCTCTTAGCTCTGTTCTGGTCTACACCAACTCCTGAGGAAAGTGTCTCATTGTCTGGCAAATGTTCATCTGTTTCATACAAGTTTTTCAGTTTTCTTTTTGTTGTTGGGTTGGTAGTAATGAGCAGTATTTTAAAGATATTTTTCCCCACAGAGAGGAAATTAAATAGAAGTAATCCATTCAAACAAAAATGTAAAGTTGCACTTGGTAGAACCAAAACAATTAGCTGAAGGATGCTAAAAAGCTTGGCAAGGTTAAGTATAAAGATGTGGCTGAATACTCACACATATGTTTCTTACACATACAACAATTAACAGGGGGGGCACATAGCCAAGCGGTCCCATGTATTGAGGCTATAGTCCTCAATGTAGCGGCCCGTGGGTTCAAATCCGACCTCGACACATTGCTGCATGTAATCCACCACTCTCCCCTCCCAACATTGTCTCTCTTCAGCTGTCCTATCTTAAATGTGACAAAAAGGCCCAAATATTCATTTTATAGTCACCAAAAAATCACAGGTTTTTGATCAATTGTTTACATGAACATTTTTAAGTTAAAGCTACAAACTCCAGACGGTCTTCAGCATAGTGTTGAGATTACCTCTATATGGTCACATTGTACTCTGTTCATTTAGGGCTACAGTGTTTTAACATACATTAGCTACATGTAACATAAGGAAAATTATTTAAGATGATTTTTAAATAATCCCTAATCGGAATCTTCTGAACTGGAAATGATGAAGTTCTAAATTCGGCAAAAGCTTCCCTTTTGCAATTAATTCTCCCAACACACACTTTGTCAGAGACTTGGCTCTTTAGATGGGCATGAAGTTAGCAAACCTGCAGGACATACACATACACACACAGGCACACACTCACTAGCACACACACGCACACACGCGCGCACACACACACACACACACAAACTCACACTCACAGGGAACAATCTAAACAAGAAAAGATATATGCCCTCGCTCAGTGTTTTTAAGGCTCTCTTGGCTGCTGAATGAGGGTGTGTTTCAGCTAATATCAACAGTTGAACCGGTGAATGTTTCAGAGGGACCCGACTAAATGGTGTGTGATAGCATGTAGCATTCTCCTACTGCTGTGGAGGAATGTGAGCGAGGAATTTACTGCACCTAACGGAGATGCTTCTGCTCCATGTGTTTTTCCGTTTTGAAATTGTTGAAACCCAACCTCTCTTCTGATACAGCTGAGTTATGAACAGAGGAGAGAGTTATGAAGTCCTTTAATTTGTTTAACCACTGAATAAGCTCTGCTCCAACTTTAGCCATCACCTTCAACTCTCTGCAAGAGCAATGCATGCATGTGTTTGTTTAAAAGGCTTGAGTTATTGTGCAAGGCAAAGCCAATACTGAGAAGGGATGACAAGGGAAAACATGCGTGGATGACGGTTGAGTTAAATCAGTCTTCCAACTAATGGGCCCAGTGCCCGCATGCTGTCATACAGAAAATGACGACGCTATAAGCTTCTGTCAGACCTCATTTTACTAAAAGATCACATTGACAAATATAAGCATTCCGGTTGGATTATCCAAGCTTAAACTGCACACAGAAAAAGATGCACAATTCTGACACTTAAATGCACATGCCGACACACTTTCTGTCTTCTAAATCTGTGAAATACACGAGCAAGGATCTATTTCATTTTCCAGTTTTTGTGTTGACTTTATAATGAGCCAATTTGTATTAAAAACCATTTCAGCCCAGCGGGAATCAGAGCCTAACGTATAAGGCACAGTTTGGTGGTTTTGCTGGTTATTAGCAACCATGTCATTACACCCATGAATTTCCAGAATCCCCCCGGTAAAACATCTATTATCTGCTGACACGATTTTTGGTAAAACCACTGAAGAAATGTATATGCCTCATGTTGAAAATATGAGACTGCTAAGCACAGACTATACGGAAACACCAGACAAAACTTCTTACGAGTAAATCTGACGACCACATTCGCTGATGTTCCTACATGTGCAGGATTTTTAAGAAGCAGGGTCAGGGTGCGACAGAAGCTGCTGCCCTGCATGTTTTCCTCACAAAGCTCTCGAAAGAAGTGATTGGATGTTGGGAGAGCCAATAGGGAGAGAAGTAGCAGGTTATTTGAACTCTCCTCACATAGCTCAACAGAACCAGACAACATCCTCTGTCTGACTTTCTAACAATATTCTCTCACAAGAGCACAAGGATCACTTCTTTACTACTTGTAACAACCTTTTTTTTTTAAATTCCTTTTTAATAAATTCATCCAGGATGGGAACATGCTGCTTCTATTTACATCTGGTTGGAGTCTACAGATGCACCTGTTGATTGAAGAAAACTCTCCGTGTTAAAAAATGAACAAAGTTGCTGCCATGAAGTCTGGTACTCTGCTACATTTAAAGGACGGCAAGGGAGCTGTGGAGAGGAACAGACTGAGTTGTGTAGATTTACCTCAGAGCAGTTTGACAGACGGAGAGAGAACAGATCTGCTGCGATGCAACAACACCTCTGAAAACAGCTCCACGATCAATTACAGAAGATTTGGGTAAGCAAACACTTCTCATATTGTTTTATGACATGATCACGTTCAAAACAGATGGTCTAATTTTGTGTGAGAGTTGTAATTTGCTCCTAAAGGCAGTTATAAGGTTGATAGATTCATTTACAATTTTGTGGTGCATTAAAAAATCAAAACCGGCTCACAAGACACCAGTATTTAGCACAAAAAGATGAAAAACAAATACAGGCACACAGTAGATAACCGACTATTTTTCTTTTATTGAGAGATAAAACATCACGATGCTCATTAAGAAAGCCAACTTTCAAGATTCAAGTTCTATAACCTTCCTGTTTTGACCTCATCTGTTCACCTAGTCATTTCTGTCTCTCTACTCTTACATTATTTCAAGTAAAACATGTTGAATGAATGAATGTTTGCATTCATTGAGATGTGGTTCAACAGTCTATTGCAGTTTCGAAACATTTCATTTATAGAGATAATTTAACAGTCTCAGCAGATGGCTGTTCAACATGATTCAGGTTCTGCTTGAAATTTGCTTGTTCAAAGAAAGGTCTTCCTTGCCACTCTTGCACAAGTGTTTTGCAAATGGTGGAATTATGTTGGATCTCTGAAAATAATATGACAAGGAGTAGAATCCAGACCTGCTTTTTTAATGTCTCTAGATGATTTTTTGTTGGCCAGGAGGGATTTGTAGGTGGCCCTCTTAAATTTATAAGATAACTTCTGATATCTCCAGGTCTCGCCTGGGTGGGGTTAAAGTCCGCCACAAGAGGCAAGTGCTGCAGGACATGGCCCGACCCCTGAAACATTGGCTGTACAAACACCGGGACAACCCCTACCCCACCAAGACGGAGAAGGTGCTGCTAGCTCTGGGCTCACATATGACACTAGTGCAGGTAAGAGCAAGCATGACAGATGAAACAGCGATTGCAGCTACGTGTTCATGTTGAGTTGAGTGTGTGTTCTATAACAAGGTGCATCTGTGCAGGTGTCAAACTGGTTTGCAAATGCACGGCGGAGGCTGAAGAACACAGTGAGACAGCCAGACCTGAGCTGGGCACTAAGGATCAAACTTTACAATAAATACATCCAAGGAAATGCTGAGAGACTGAGCGTGTGCAGTGATGAAACTCACTCAGATGGTATGGCTACAATATATCATTCTACAATGTGTTTAACTTACCTTTTGTGTGTTGGAAATGTGAAAAAAAATATATAAACCATAATCTTTATCATAATTTATGACTTCCTTTCCATACATTTTAAAAGCGGTTAACGTTTTGTTTCCTTTGTTGCAGATGAAGATTGTCCCTTAGAAGCTCCCATCAGACAATCAGACTTTGGCAGATCATCAACCCACAAGAGTGCACTCCAGAAACAGGGCAGCGTCCTCGCTATGGCGGACTCCGCCAACAGTTACAACAGCGTCTCACCACCATCCAAGTACAAGAGCAGTTTACTGAACCGATACCTGAATGACAGCCTGCGACACATGATGGCAGTGAAGTCTGATGGCGTCACCTCAACCCGCAGGGGGAGGAGCCACTCAGAGTCTTTCAGCTCCAACGAATGTGACCGAGATGTCGTTTCCCCGGCATCATCATACGAAACAGAGGCCAACTTTGTCTACCACATGGGTGAGACATGTCATTTTTCTATCTCTGTGCTGGACAATATCACAATGTAACTTTTTCACAAAATATGTTTAGGAATTCTTGTTATTAGGACTGATATTATGCATTAAATCAAAGCAAGTTATATAAGTAAGTACATCATCAAAGGTAGATGTGGAGGAAAGGAGATGAGAGAAGCCTCAGTCCACAGAAATCCTCAAAGCTTCTGCCTTGCTAATTGCAGATTTATGTTGAATTTAGCTAAAATGACAATTTAACTACCTTGCTTCCCCTTGATTCTTTTTTAACACACCACAGTGTACAGTTAAATAAGAACAGACCGTACAGAAACGTCCACATGGCTCCTCAGAGCTCAATGACTTTAATAAATCTCTGGCAGTACACTGAAAGTCAGCGGCGATATTCAATTATAAAGTTACAGCTAAACTTGACACCTGGGTGCCCTTTCAGTCCTACAGGGAAACCAGCACGCTGGCAACCCTCAAATCTGCTCAGGTACAGGAGCCAAACCTTTACAAACATTACTAATAAAGACCAATGCAGACGCTCAAATCCCTCATTTTAAAATTGGATGGCGCTTGTGCTGGCTGCTGCTGCTCACCGCAAATATCATTTCCATCTACGAGAATGTGCCATTTGTTCCGCTTCAGCTTCTTGCCGTGGTGGAAATGTCCAGTCCAGTCTCAAGGACAATTACAGAACGTCTGAGACTTTATTCTTCCCCGGGTGAGAAGAAGAAACCTCAGCCAAATGTAGAAATGGAGCAGTCTGTCAGTACTGCGCTGAGGATGTCTCATAGAGCGAGTGTCAGAGCTGCCACTCAGATGTGAGGAAACACAGAGCGAGATCTCTAATATCCATCTGAGGCTGTGGCTTTCCTTCCTTCACTCTTGTGTGCTTTGGCAGGCGGAAACTCCCTAGTGTAACCCTGCAACTTCAAATCAATCTAGATTTACATTATGTCATAAGAGCTGTGAAAAGATTTTTGAAGCAGATTTTACTCTTTAGGCTAACAAATAAATGTCTCTCTCAAATTATACAATGGATGCATTCATGCATTGCTTAAAGTCTTGAAGTTCTTTCATCAACACTTTTAAAGTCTGTGACCAGGCATGTCTGATAGACTCTGTCCACACTGAGTCTATCAGATACACACTTTACACTCAGTTTATCCACAAACTGTATGAAACATGGACGTAGTCTCAGTGCCGTCAATCTTTTGTTTCTGAAGAGGCATTATGAAGCTCAACAATGGCAGTCTACCTAACTTTTGGTTATTCTAGTATCAGGCAAAGAGGTGGAGCTGAGGCAGGTCTTCTGCCTACTTATAAACAGCTACAATGCGGCCACCTGTTAGCCTTGATATAATCAAAATGGATGAATTATAAAAAATGTCAACACTAGTAGAGTTTTTACCAATAGATAAATGAGCTGTTGAGACTAAAACCTTTTTTTTTGCTGTAAACATGTTTATTTTGTCTGGAAAAAGGGTAATTTTAAAATATTCGATCTAAAGTGGATTCCTTGTCTTTTGGATTCCATGCTCTTCTTTTTTTCCACTTCCGCATTGGCCTCAATTTTTAAAACCTGAGGTTGCCGCTTGGTTTAACCTTGCTCGGGCCCGCAAATTGGGATAACCTTTTTAAACATTTAAAAAGGCTTATATTTTATGTTTCAGAAAATGGTCAATTATACTGCCAGGCCTTAACATATTATAAATAAAGAAAATAATTGAATAGTGATTGTATAAATGAATAAATGATAAAATAATGATTATCATTAAATACATTATTTTTATGAAATTCTATGACGTGTTTGGAAAAGCTTGTTTGCTGTCTTGATAAAAGTTAGCTGAGAAGACTGATACCACTAATTGCACTCTTTTTTAAAGCTAAATCTGAAGCTATTGGCTTATTATTTAAAATGAAAACAGAGGGGCTAACAGCTTGCTAGTTCTACAAGTAAGAGGATTTAACTACTTTGAACATTTAGTTCATGAAAAACCTAAATGAATTTGTGTTATCCATTTAAAACATTTGAAAGAGAAGTTGTGGTTTTACAGGGGTTACTGTATGTCACCATCTTTTGATTAGCTGGGTTCAGTTTCTATCATGAACTAAACAAGTGAAATATAACATATTGATATTTGCTTCTTAGAAGTGGCTGAATGATTAGCCTAGTTCTCAATGGAGCAAAGCTAGCTGTTTTTCTGCTTTTAGCATTTATGCTAGGCGAAGTGAGAAGTCGTTAGCTTCAGCCCTGTATTCAGGATGTAGCCATGAGGTATCAATGGTATCAATCTTGGCATCTTTCGAACAAAAGAAAGCAAATACTCATATTTCCCAAAATGTTACTAGCTTCCTTCAAACATGCTGTTACTCGCTCACTTGAAATTATTTTTATTGGAGAACCTGGAGGTTTCTTGATGTCATCATTACTCTGTATGTGGGCAGCAGAGAGTGTCGAGATGTTTGTTCTAACATTTAATGTCTCCCTGCTGGTCATATTAAGGGTGTTTGTGACCTACAGCGGCTCCTTAGTGGAGGTGAGGTGGAAAGTCAAGCTGCCAAATTCATGACAGGCACTGACACCATTAACACGTTTATACTTCACCCGCGAGACGACTTAAACAGTCACTAAAGCTCAAGAGATGGTTGAATAAGTGATGCCACGACACAGTGTTTCACAAGAAAACTTTGGACATATCAGTCTGAATCCCACAGACGATTAAAAGTCTAGTGGAATAATACGTGTTAGTTATATTACAGCTTAATGTTCAGAAATATGAGGCGGTTTACACCTAGTAACACGGTCCCTGCATCCCCTTCTGTATTTCCTCTGAAAGACTAGAAAGCCATAAATGTGACCAGAGTTGTGTTTTATTGGACACAGCTAGCTGTAAAAAACATATCTGGACAATTGCCTTTTCTGCGTTTTCCGCAAATTTGTTCCAAATAAAAACATGCAGAGGAGACTCTCTTATCCACAAACCTACACCCCTATCAAGACTATGAAGTGTTAAATTATTTTCTCGGTACGTAGTTGTTTTTCAGTTTGGATCCAAATGAAACACCTGTCAGAAGGTGTAAGTCACGGACTTTGGGTCATGAGGGGATATGAATCCCTGCTAATGTTATACCATAGATAAAAGTGTAGATAAGTCAAGGTTAGTGGCATATCCGTATATATTATTTGGTATAAAAGAGTCAGAATCCTACAATCAGCTTAATCCTACAAATAGCCAAATTGTCCAAGTCTCATTTGTGTCTGATTATACTTTGAGTTGTTTTTTTAGAAGTAAATGTCACGATTCAACAACTTTAATATCTGTCAATAAAAGCAGATTAGACATGTGGATGTCTTACAGTGGCTGATGTGAATGTGATCAGTCACCCTATTTATTCTCCTGACGATCAAGCTAAGACCTCCTGCTCGCAAAGCTGTGTTAGCAGGGCCTATATATCAATATTGTTCAAAGAACCCTTGCTGAATTTCTTTGGCTTTAAATTATAACTCAAGTAAAGACAACTAAAAATCCAATTAAGATTAAAAACTTCAAAATCAATACTTGTCCAAAATTGTTTTTGTTTTTTTATTTTCATTTGAGGATGCCATCCTCAATGTAACTGCCACTGCACTGTCAGCCACCTAGCTAACATTGCTCAGAAACAAAGATTTTGAAGCTGTACAGCATATTAAATAAACAGAGAAACTGCTCAAATGGGAAATATCCTTTAAATTATTCGGCAGAGGCCAGGGAGGACTAGCTAAGCAAAAAGACTGGAAAGCTTGTTTGGCTTCAAGTTAGTTAGTTCAAACTAGTTCCTGTGATCCAAGCGATCTTTGGAGGAACAGCTAGATCAATCACTCTCCTATCTCTCTCTGATTTATCCATCAAGCTATATCTGGTTTTTCAACAATAACTCTTAATTTACAATAAACCCAAGTTAGACATTTATGTCGGAATTTGTGATGAACAGTTTTTTATGATCTTAAGTTGCAATTGTTAGTTTAACACTTCAGTTGTTGTTTTTACAGTTCCACAAATAAAACGTCATTTGTTGGTTCTGGAGATGTCTGTCGGAGAATTTTTTCACCTTTAGTTTGGACAGGTACAGGCTAGCTTTTTTCCACTGTTTGTACTTGCAACGCTAAGCTAACTAACTCCTGCATCTAATTCTCTGTTTGAAGGTATACTGTATCTCTGTTGTCAAAGTAGTAAATGTTAATAGCAAAAGCAGGCAGCTTCATTAAGGTTTAACATTTTGTTGCAGTTGATCCCTGCTATAAATTTGACTCACCAGAGTTAAAATAATGTTTTTTCTTGGTAACAAAAATACAACAGAGGTACTAAAGTACTTTCTTGGCAGCTAGTCATATGGCAAAAGAGAAAAAAATCCCAGGGCCGTTCAGTAGCAAAATAGCATAAAACAGAAAAATGATTTACTATCAATAAGTAGTTTCTTTTGGCTTCAGCTAGCATAAAGAAATCAGAGACGGGGATGTTTCGGGCTGTTAGCGTTGAAAGACTGTGTTTCACTGAGGGCCTTTAATTTCCCCGTCTAGTGCTCGCTGAAAAATCCAGTTCGACCAACTTCTATCTGCTCCAATGAATAAAGGCAATAATCCAAAACTGAAATGGAAAATATGCTTTACATATAATGCACGCTTAGACATTGACCACAAACAGGAATTGTACAAGCGGTTTAATATTACTCACAAGTTTTATTTACTCAACTCTGGCTTCTGATTCTGCCAGAGATACTGAGTATGATTTCAGGCCTTTTAAGAAATAGACTGACCCTTTCTCCAGATATTCATTTTCAGGCCTTGGGAAAAAAAAAAGATGAAGGTCTGCAGGGACCACTTATGGAAAGGAAAAGACATATAGCGAACTAACTTTACAGGTGCTAGTAGAAAACTCAGTGTCAGTATGTGACACGTTGCAGATATCGTTTTTTTCTAACCTCAAAAAAGAGAAACTCTTTAAAAAAACAAAAACATTTAAAAAAAAACACCCAGAGAGACACATTGGGCATGAAGTAGCTGTATAGACAAAGAAGAATATATTTTCACTTTAAGATACCATTACATGTACAAACAAACACACTAAACCCACTCACAATAACTAAGATGCAGTCTGAAAACTCTCATACATTTGTAATAACACAAGGGATCGCTTACATGAGGTCTAATCCGGCCTTGATTATACTTTGAATATACTCTGTATACAATTTCACAGCCATCATGTAAACTGATTTATAACATCTATAGATGAGTCTTTTTCTTCTCTCTTCCAGACACAATGGACTATTCTTCAACTAAATGTGACAGGTGAGTGTAATTTAACATTCTCAAACCCTTTTGGATGATGTTTTTTGAAACTTAACCACCATTTGTGATTCATCGTTCTGGCTTTATATCAAGATTCCTTCCTGCTTTAGATTTCTGAAACTGCTCTTCAGATGGATTTATCCAGGTAGTGCTCGGCATGAGATTCAACAATCAATCAACCTTTATGAAAAATCAACTTATCATCAAAGGGCAACACTTAATCAAGGCAGTTACTAAAGTATATAAAATAAAAGCCACAAGAGAGATTGACTTTTGGACAAAATGTTTTAAAGCTCCTGTGAATGATTTTAGTTTTGTGTCGATTTTTTAAAAAGTGGTACATCTTATCTCCATGCTGATCTTGTCCTGTATATTTGTAAGGAATGTTTTCTTACATCCTTTCTTACATCCTGTTTCACTTATTAAGAGTATTTACAGGGGAAAATGTAAAAACAAAAAGGCTGGCACTTCAGCGTCTTGTGTGACACCTACCCCGCAGCAGCAGTTACATACACTAAAAATATCGTTAATAGCCAGCTTTTATGCTGATGTTCTGGCTTGTTTGATGTTCTGGTCATAATTTCAGTTTGTTTAATTACCAGCATAAAACTCCACACAGCAGCTTAAGCTCATGTGAGGAACTTTGTGTTGATTTTGGCTAGTGGTTCAGCTTGTTCCCTTACTAATCTTGTCCTGTCCATGTAGGGCCGGTGTTTTCTGACATAATACACCATCCTGCTTTCTTTAATAGTTCAAAATATTTGCTATTGAAATAGTCAATCTTGTTGCTGATGGTCTTGTTTGAGTTTTTAGGACATAAAGAGGAGTTTTTATTTCAATTGGTTTCAAAATCAGTTAAAAACTATTATTTTCATTTTGCAGGAGGGTCTTTTTATAAAGATATATTAAGATGATTAAAAGGTCAAATATAATAAAGATATTTTTTTAAAAGCTGTGGAAACCTGGAAACAACTCTAATTAATTTATAACCTTCAAAACAATTCTGAAGTATAAGTTTGTATTAAAAATCTATTTAAAGTGAAGAATACAATACAGATAAGTAAACAGTTCTACATAGAGGTTGGGAGTTTAAAAACAGTTTCCAAATCGTCCAAAAGGCAAAAGTGTATTATACTTAAAAAGGAATTTTGTACCAAGAGTTAGTTCTAGTAAAATAAAAAGCAGTCGTATTGAAGTTCTTAGAGGTAAAATATGGATATTTGGCGATGCACTGCATAAATTGCAGTTTTTCTCATATATTCGCAGTGTTCAGCAGCAGGAGAGAGTCCAGCAGAAACGGGTCGATCAGGACTGGAGGGAGATCCATGCCGCTGTCGCTCTGACCAACTTGGCCCGGGGCCAGAGCTGCACAGCAGACCAGGGCTGCGTAACCATTCCAGGCCCAGACCAAAACTTCACCAGAAAGCCTTTCTCATTTACAAGGACGACTATCATAGACACCATGTGTGTCACTGGACCCACAACTGCTCTGAGGCAGAGCTGCACCATGGGGCCTGCTCTCACCAGCCGAATCATCCAGAAGTCCTCTCACATCTCGGAGGTTCAGACTGTTAACGTGGCCCTGCCTAACACTGTGTAGGCATTTTATTTGAACATCTGGTTTTAAATCTTTTTGTATAGTTATACCAGATGTTAAAGTGCCTTGCAATTTATGAACAGCCTCTGGTTGCTTTGTAAAGTTGATAAACTTTGACACTTTTAATCCTTTTTACGTTCTAAAATGGAAAAAGTGACCGTTGATTTTTTTTCTACACTTTTTGTAATGTTTGTAATTTCTCCCTGTTGCCGTCTGTTGCAGTAAGTTATATTAACTTCATGAGACTGGATGATCATCCAATGCTAAAGTTGACAGCAGCTATTTTAATAAACTCAATGTGAAATCTTCTGACCGGTCATTTGCTTTAAATCTTTGCCTTACAGTGGCTGAAACAGCACAGGCATGTAGAGCTGTATTTAGTGGTAGATTTCATGTGGGTAATTGAGGGCCTTGTAGTTTCATATCTGTTCAAATTCTTTTGGTTGTAGTTTGGGCAGGAGTTGTGGCTTCATAACAGGGAGACAGTGCTTCAAGCTAAGAACATTTGTTCAAGTTTTTCCTCTGAGCAATGATCCAGATGAAGAGGGATTCACAGGGTTAAACTGACAACTCAAATGGGACAGTGCAGTTGCTGACTGAAAGATGGCAGCAATAACCAATATTTCTAGACCAATGGATCAAATAATGAGCATGTGGAAGTGGCTGCTTTTGTGAATCAACAGATAATTATCGACTGACTGCTTCTTACCATGGTATATGTTTCTAAAACAGGCGATGAACGAAAGTGCACAGAAACAGAAACTAGCTTGCCAGTAAACCTGGAGCATTTAGACATTTAGCTAAAAAGCAGAGTTAGCTTAGAGGAACCAATCAATCAAACTGAAAGGCATGCAGGCAAATGTCTCAGTTATGTTTGGCAGGTTCCCTATACGGCTGGGAATATTTGGATGTCTCACAATTCGATTTCAATTCTTGGGGTCACGATTCGATTGAGAATCTATTTTCGATTGATAACAATTCTGGATTCACGATTCAATGTCTTTTTTTGTATTAGCACATACTTCAGGATCTACTCCAGTCATCTGTGAGACTGGCATTCTACTGAGTTCAGGATTTAGCCTTAGCACTTAGCAGGGAGTGACTGATTAGCCAAAAAAGAAAATCGATTTTTGTTAGCCGTGAATCTATTTAGAATCTCAGAAGATAAGAATCTCTATCTTTACATGAATCGATGTTTCCCCCCCACCTCTGTCCCTACTCCCCCATGTAACTTGCTATTTGTCCATGTTCACGCTATATGTATTCATCTTTTTTACCCTCATGTTTTTCAGTGTTTCCTTAAAATATGTTGTATATGACTTTCAAATACCTACAAGGCAATACACCCCCCTTCCTCATGTGCTCCTTCAGAAGCTCCAACCCAAATAAAGAGACCCCATCTAGTACTTTAAGAGGTTATTATGAAAAGGCAATATGGTCAATCCAGAACTCCTCAATAGTGGAAGCATCGTTAACTGCAGTCATTGTTTGTGGATCCATAACCTATAGCCGAGGGCAAGAAAGAAAGAGAGTCGTTTATTTGCAGGGTGTCGAGCATGAACAATAACTGTTGCTTATTAGCTTATGATTCCTGCTTTGTGGCTTTAGTCAATTTGTTTGTTTCCTCAGAGCTTGGACTGTTATCACGTCTAACAAAAAGTGAGGTCGTGTTGTGCTTAAAGCCTCAAAGTGACATAAAGATCAGTTAATGCAGGTTTGATCAATATGGAGTTCTTTAGATTTGAACATATTGTGACGAAATGAGAAGCAATGGGTTTCTCTGAAGAACAAAATATTTTTTTTCTGTATATTCCTGAACTGCAAATAGCATTAGGGTAGATGAGAAACACAACTGTCATCTGTTTATGATGTTAAAACCCAACAGAAATGCAAAATTAGATCTGAGGAATTTCCAAACCTTAACTAAGCATCAACTGCCAAAAAAGAAACGTTATTGGAAATAAAGAGACACAATAAGCCTCAGGGGAACGTTTGGTGCTGTGCCTCTGCAGAGAGAAACTTGTGGGGAGGTTTCAGCTCCATGTGGTGACTTACTGACACCAAACATAAGCTTGTAATCAGATGTCCTCTGGGACTATTTTACAAAACATGATTAGAACAGGAATTTTCCTCTCGTGCCCCAGTTTTGGTCGGTTTTCTGACATTTTGTGCAAAGTACGTTTTTAGTCTTGCGTGTAAAAGACAAGTCATCAACAAAGAATTATGGAAAGAGGAGCTCAGTCCTGTTTCCACTGTTAGCCTGCTTTCCATTTAAAGTGTCTTATGCACAACAGAGGTAAATGGCAGTTCTCGAATGACAATTGAGCAATAATCAGTCATTGAGGTGACAAGTTGAGGTTGTCATTTATTTCAGTTTGAAACCTTACACACGTTACTGGACCATATTCCTATTGACTGACTTTTAATGTTAAGGCAATGTAACATATTGCTTTTTATGATTCAAACAGATGCACAGCAAAAGCAACAGGAAAAGGTACAGACATAAAGAAGGGAAAAAGGAACATTGCAAACAAATGAAAAAAGGAATACAAATATGAACAATACTAGGAATGTTCTCAGGTGAGAAATGCCTTCAATAAGATAGACCACACCGAACACACAAACTCATAAAAGATGTGGGGGATTAAAAAACGTACAGGGTGAAGCTTGACTAATTGCATGGTTTTGAAGAGCAGAGCAGAAAGGCAAAAATCAACTCCATTTTATTACAACAGCTCTTCATACTTTAAACCTGGCACCTGTAACTGATATGGTCCAGATCAGACATGAAAACCAAAAATAAGTTTGGTAAAAGAAAAGATAAATATGACAACTTGTCTCAGGTTTTTTTAAAGTAATGAAAAACAAGGTAATCAGTTCTCTTGAAAGCGTTCACATGTACATGGAAACTGATGGAAACTGCTATCAACAAATACTTGGAAAACAGTAACTGTGGTCTGAAGTGAAATGTCTTATCGTCACAATCACAGTGTTGTAGTGCATAATGACGTTAAAAGAACACAATCTACATAACAGGTCTCTTTCAGCTCCATCCTCCACCCAACCAATGTGTTATATATGATATAAAGTTGGGAAATATACGTCTTGCAGAATATTTAGTACGTTAAATTTGCAGCTGCATAGCAGGGAACTATCTTTTAGACGTACTGTTTAGGGGACTTCTTTATTGATTATATTGGATGTTGCTTGACAAGCTATGCACTCTAACCTCCAAATTGGTACATGTCATAGGCAGAACACTTTTAACTTGCTGCCTTAATGTACAATAGAATCACTGTTACCAGGAAATTAAACTCAAACCAGACGTGTATCCGATTGAAGAACACTTGGCGTGGTTATGTCCAATTAAAACGCTTTACTTCCTAAGACAAGAGGCTTTTTCTTCATGATGCTTCATTCATGTTTTCAATAGAAAGTAGTGACAGATGATGGTTGAAAAGGTAGTGTGCAAACAGCAAAGTCCTCTCGACAGACAGAACTACTCCAGCTTTTTAAAAAGGTACTCATCTGTTTCCACCTCTCCCTCTCTTTTCCCGTTCTGTTCCTGCTCTTTAGTGTTTCCTATCAGGTTGTTGTTTCTTTGGTTCTGTCCAGTTTCAGGGTATAGAGCAGTATCCTCCACATGCCCGGCCCCCACCATGCTCCTGCTCCCCAAGACGGACCCTTGGACTCTGGTTTTCACTCTCCCAAAGACCTGGAGTCTGGAGGATCTTCTCCACCAGCTCCTCAAAGGCACACTGGACACCGTCTTTGGTCTTTGCACTAGCCTCTGTCCAAAACAAACAGGCAAGGATTATGACATCAGCCAACAAAAACAATGGAGCACTTTCCAAAATTTAGCAAAAGCAAAAAAAGCACCTCATCAGCTTCTCAATCCAAAACATCTTTCTTTTTAGTGATAGTCAAATTTCCGAGAGGGATTAGAAAAAACTCCATGTGGTGAAAGCAAGACATTTAAAGTACAAAATGACTTCATTTAAGAGCAGAAGACATCAAGAGGGATGAAGACATCCACACAACAGATTTATCCACAACATCTTCTTGCCCAACCCTTTTTTAAAAACCCTTCATTTAGTCGTTCTGAAATGGAAACTCCACAGAAACGTTAACCCAATTTCCCAGAGAGCTGCAGATTGGAGATGAGAATCAGGAACACGTGTAGACAGGGATCTGTTAAATGGCTTGATTGTAATGATAATGCTGTTCTGCTGGAGTGGCTGCATCTTTCAGTGCAGATCTGACAGTAGAGACTCAGAAACGCACAAAAAACATATAAACAAAAACTCAATGTACGATTTACTCAGTTGTGTCCTGACTTGCTCCAGCAAAGCAATAACAGCTCTGACTTTTGAGTCCAGAGTGGTGCCTTTTCATGGCTCCAAGCTACATTTGATGGCTCTGTTAGTTTAAATGACAATGTGTGACGTTATTCCAACATGAATACTTACCAATAAAAAGCATTGAGTGCTTCCTAGCAAACTTCAGCCCTTCATTTCTGTCCACTTCATGGTCGTCCTGAAAACCGAACAGATATTTTATGACATTTTCTACATGCAGGATACACATGGTAAAGGAAGCAACACAACTGTAACAACACCAAGGCCTGATGACATTTATACAAGAGTTTTAACTATTTCTTATGTTGTTGTTTTTTTTTTTGCATTTTTAATTCCTACGTTATAAATCATTTCAGAAGTCAGGTATAAATCCATCTTTTAGCCAATAAACTGAACATTACTTTTAAGAGGATAAGCTAATTGAACAGTGACAGAGTATATAAACTTGCACAGTATGACTCACCTTATCTATTTTGTTCCCAACGAGCATTTTTACAATCTCATTGCGTGTCGTGTAGGTTTCCAGTTCATTCAGCCAGTTTTCAAGTTTTGAAAAAGTGTCGCGCTTTGTGACGTCGTAAACTATCAAAAACCACAGAAACAAAGTACTGGGATTAGAGGGCATATTTTGAAGGGGTACATTTCTACTTTGAGTGGGGCTAAATCCTTTAATGAAAGGGAATCTTAACAGGAAATCTTACTTATCTGATGGCTGCATTAAAGTGTAAACATTTATCTGAAGCCTTTTTCCCCGGTGGCTAACCTTCTCTACTATAGTGTGATTCATTTCGATGTGAGACGCTTGTTACTATAAGCAAGAAGTCCTAAACTGTTTCTGTATCCTTGAAACTACTGTGTCTCAAGAAAGTGCTACAAAAAGCAGGGAGTGGATATGGCTCTTATGGTTCTTAAAGAAATATGTCTCTAGGTTTGGTAGTGAAGGGTTGAGTGGCTTTATAAGCATGACATTATACCAAGTATGACTCCCTGTGCACCACGGTAGTAGCTGGGCGTCAGGGTTCGAAACCTCTCCTGTCCAGCCGTGTCCTGCAGAAGTGAACACACTCATGATCAATGGGAGCAAAAGACTCTAATGACACCAGACGTTCAACAGATCAACAGGTATATTTCAAAGTCTGAATGTCAACACCAATGTTTTCCTGTCAAGTCTACAAGTCACACAGCAGCCTTCAGCCATCTTGGTACTGTTTTATTAGCTGAAGCTAAGAGTCAGAAAAGGACGGTGGCAGATGAAGCTAAGAAGAGACAAGAGTGAGTGACTGAGAAAGAAGCCAGACTAGAGTAAATATTGGATAAGCTTTTACACGTTAGAGAGAGCTTAACCAAACAGTAATAATGCATAAACAGAACTTAATTGCGGCAGTGGACACTCCACATGCAAACAACGGGCTGAAGACGCTAGCAGATTCATATTTGTGCAAAATCATGAACATAATTAATCTTAATTTAATTTATAATACTGACAACATTTTTGCTGGAGTCAAATACAATGCCTCCGAAAAGAAAGTTTGATCTCTTCTTTATTTTCTTTCCTCGCTTCAGGCTACGCAATGTCACCATCTAGTGGAGAGATCCTGCAGATCACCATGTTTTTCCTGCCAACAGATAAACAGTAGACAAAGGCTTAACGACTTCACTCTTACCCATATGGCGAGCTTTGCTTTGTTCCCATCTATAGCGAGTGTCTTCACTTTGAAATCCACACCTGATCAGTCATGAAAAGAGGGGAAGAGAAGGGGAAATTAAACTCTCAAGTTTAAAATATCTTTATATTAGCCCTCGCAGTTAATGTGTATTTGTGCTGTATGCCAGTGTATGTGTGTCATACCTATTGTTGCTGTTTGCTCTGGATCAAAAGTATCATCTGTGAACCTCAGGAGGAGACTGTGTGGGAGAGAAAGATATGACGGAATGAGCCAGGCATCCACAGAAGGCCTCTGTAGTTTACTCAACTCTCTATCAGACATTATACAGATATACAGATACAGGATCAAAACAACTGCACACTTTTGATGTTGACAGCTGAATTTCTAAGACACATTTTCATCTTCATCGTCAATCAAAAACTTTGAAAGTTAGCAGCTGTGACGTAGACCTTGTCGATGACCTAATTTCCAACACATAGACAAAATATTTGTCCTGAATTGGTAGAGAAAGAACAACAGCACGACCAGTTGGCTGTAGCAGCAGCTGTTGAGCAGTGGAAACTAAACTTACATAACAAGAACATCAACAGTCACAACAAGCTAGCTAGTGAGCCTTTTACAAACACAGACAAACCTGGATTTTCCGACTCCACTTTCACCAATAATCAACAGCTTCAGAGTCGTCAGCACGTCTTCGTCCATATTCCCGTGCGAGCTAGTTTGACCTCACCTTGTCAACACTTTTATCGATAAATTTCACTTGTTTTTTAGGGCGGCAGGCGGCTAATAGCTCCGATGACAGCCTGCGAGTCTGTTGCTCGCTCAACTTCCGCCCAACCTGCGACGCGTGACGTCATAGAGGGTAACGTGGTTTCAAAATAAATTGGATTAAAGGTTAATTATTTATCATTAATTTTATATATTCAATTGAATTCTTTTTTTTATTATTTCTTATACCTATTCATTTACATATTTTAAGTATCAAACTTAAGTATTTAAATTAGTATTACTTTAATTACTTTAATTATTACTCTATTATGTTTTATTACATGTAAATAACTTTGATTTTGTGCCTATGAATTATTGATTGTCCTGAGTTTGAATATTTAATAACACTAGTGAAAAAACAACAACAAATGATTTACTTCATAAAATAACATTCAATAATTAAACAGAACATTTTACTGTGTAGTGTTTTTATATTCTTTGAAACTTTGCTTGGCACCTGCCATTGCACTCCACTGTTTGTTTTATTCAAATGATTTTGAATGCAGTACATTACAATAAATAAAATAAAATACAGGATAAGATAAGTTATACAACCATTTAGAGGTTGAAATATTTCTGTAAAAAAGTGATAAAACTGTTATTCTTTTTCTTTGTTTTGTCAAATGGTTTGTACCAAGTCCAAACAGCACGTTTTTTTTTTTTTTTAATCTAATATACCTGACTGATTGAAAAATACCAGAAATTTGGTTTCAATCTTAAAAAAGGAGTTGGTATTGGGTCCTGAGGCTTGAACAGTTGGGAACCACTGGTCTAAATAACCTACATCATAATACCTCTTTGTTTTTTGCCTTTGCTACCTTTCATTAACCTTCAAGTACCTACAATTTTAACGTTACCTCAACCATGAGAGGGAATCACCTGGGGGGTTAGGCTTTTGTAGGCCAGCAACAGTGAGTATTGAAGGGAACCAGTGAGCCATACTACACCTACAGTTTTCAATGAGCTTTTTGACCAAGACCTCAAACCTCTGTTACTTCTGTTCATTACAGACCAGGCTGACCCTGTTAGTGTGCAAATGTTATCGCAAAGAGGAGCTAAAAGAGTCTGCAGCAGAATAAATACAGACAGTTGTGAATACCCACAGCTCTCTCTAATGTCAGTCTGAAATTTGTAGAAAACAGCAGGAATTTCTTCTTTTTTTTGGAATAAGAAAAACCAGATCTTAAGTTTTTGCAGCTATGGCCAGATTCCACACAGACTGCATTGAGAGACCTCTACGCATCTGTTTCAAGCTGCTGGGTCATTTTATTGGATCCCATCCTTGGTGGTTCTTGATCGTCCCTCTTATTCTCTCAACATGTCTGGGGAGCGGATTTTATTTCCTCAAGGACAGAATGTCAAACAACATAGAAGAGCAGTTCACGCCTGTCTATGGACCTGCCAAGACGGAGAGAAGATACATCCAAGAAACCTTTCCTGGAAATGATTCCATGTTTTCACGTCTAAGACTAAGTACAGATGGGAATTATGCAACGTTCATAGCTACAAGTGACAGAAATATTCTGACTGTGGAGTTCCTTCAGCACATCTTAGAATTGGACTTTAAAGTTAGGAGTATGGTGGTGCAGTTTGATAACAAGTCATTTGAATATGTAGATGTTTGTGCTCAGGTGATGGGATCCTGCTCCTCAAATGATATTTTAGATGTTATTGCATACAACGCAAACAATATAGAAGAAGTAAATTTGACATTCCCATGGTATTACTCTAGTTTTAAGAGTTTTCCTTTATATTTAGGTCTAGGGAGTGTAACACTGGACAAGGGAAACTCAGTTGTTAAAAGTGCTAAAGCCATACAGCTCCATTACTATTTACGTGAAGACAAGAAAACAAAAACTGACATTTGGTTGGAAAGCTTTGTCAATTTGGTCTCAAACTGTTCATCAACTTCCATTCAGGTAAGCACAACTTTAACACATGCAAGTGTTCAATTTTGTCTTTGTAAAATTATCCATTTCTGATTTATTAATTATTTTTTCTAGGTGTCATACTCCACCTCAATGTCAATGCAGTGGGAATTTCAAAAAACTCCAGCTTCTGTCATCTTTTTATTCTCAAACACTTACGCCATTGCCATCACATTTTCAATCCTATCATGTTGGAGGTCAGTCAAACTTTTGCTGGACATGTATTTGATGTGCTATCTGATTTACTTTAATGTTTCCTTTTTAAGCTCTGATTTCCTTTTTTTTTTTTTTAGGTTGGATACTGTAAGGACTAAGGTGTGGGTGGCCTCCTGTGGGGTCTTCTCAACAGGTCTAGCAGTCCTGAGTAGTTTTGGGTTGCTTTTGTTGCTGAATCAACCTTTTGTTATGACAGTTGCCTCCTACTTTTTACTATGCAATGTCATATAGAAATGGTTAGTCCAAACATGTTTCTAACCAGGTGTAATTGTCACAAGATATGTCCCTGTTTCAAAATGATGATTATGTCTGTGAATGTATACTTCTCTTTTAGTGTGACATACCATTTAAAATATTCACAATGAGGGTTTCCAAGTTCAAAAGTGTACTTATTTTCATCATCTGAAGTTAATAAATACCAATGGATTTCAGGAGCAAAATTAAAAACACACAACTCAGTCTGCATTTTCAAGAAGTCTATAAGATCTTCAAAAGTAAACAAGACAATCAGCAAGAAGATTGACATTCATGACAGGATCAACAATGGTATCAGACAAACCGCTTTGTCCAAATCGGCCACCAAAAATAAAGTTCTTCATTGGTTCTTTAAGGAGCTTAAACTCATCTAACATAGAGCTACAGTGTCCTTTAAAAAGATTCTAAAACAGGCACAGCCATAAGATAAGGACCAGTTCTAACTGATGTTGTACTTAAGCAGTGCAACTTCACTTGGTTTTTCACAGCACAACATCTGTAATGTCTGGGTCACATTCACTGTGTAATTCCCTGTCTCCCCTTTCATGTACCCATAGGTATTGGCCTGGATGATCTGTTCATCATGATATCTTGCTGGCAGAGGACCCGTGTTCTGGACAGTGTCCCTGACCGGCTAGCTGAAACCTACAAGGAAGCAGCTGTCTCCATCTCAATCACCACCATGACTGATGCTCTGGCTCTCTTTCTGGGCTGCGGCTCGCCCTTTGGTTCTGTCAGATCCTTCTGCCTATATGCCGGGATTTCTATCTGCTTCTGCTATTTGTACACTATTACTTTCTTGGGGGCATGCATGGCTTTGAACGGACAGAGGGAAGCAGGGAACAAGCACTGGTTCACCTGTGCCAAAGTCCCAGAAGACTTACCATCGGAGAACTCCAAAGTCTTCAGTATCTGCTGTGTTGGGGGTAGCTACAATCGAATCTCAGAAAAGGAAGAACCTGAGTCCATGAGCCATTTCTTTGAGCGGTTCTATGGCCCAATTCTGACCCACAAATCTATGAAGGTGTTCGTATTTGGAGTTTACGCAGTCTATCTGGCTGTAAGTATCTATGGCTGCTTTATCTTAGAGCAGGGACTCGATGTCCGGAATCTTGCTTTGGACAATTCATATGTGATTGATTTCTACAACAATCAGAGGCAACACTTCTCTGAATATAGCTGTAATGTGATGGTAGCAGTAAAGCAGCCCTTCAATTTCTGTGATGAGGACCAACTGAAGCATCTGTGTCTTTGCATTTCAAAATTTGAAAGTTTAGACTTTGTCAACAATTCTTTGGCTTGGTTTCTTTCCTTTCAACAGTATGCAATTGCGACCAATGTCAATATAAGTTCTAAAGATGCCTTCCAAATGCATTTGCACAATTTTTTAGAACTCAACTTCATGTTCACACAAGACCTCAACTTAACAGTAGACAATGACATTCAAGCCTCTCGTTTTTTCATCCAGACATTAAACAAAACACCAATGCAAGACTTGATGACTGTACTCAGGAAAACAGCAGAGAAATGTTCAGTCAATCTCTTGGTGTACCATCCTGCGTTCATCTACTATGACCAGTACACTATCATCAGGGACAACACCATTCAAACCATCCTGGTGGCTGTGATCGTGATGCTTGTCGTCTCTCTCATCCTGACACCTAACCCTCTTTGTTCGGCATGGGTTGCTTTTGCAATTTGTTCCGTCATTGTTGGTGTGATGGGGTTCATGGCACTGTGGGGCATAAGCCTGGACTCCATTTCCATGATAAACCTGGTCATGTGCATTGGATTTTCTGTAGATTTCTCGGCACACATTTCTTACACTTTCAGCTCCAGTCCAAAGAGTGACGTCAATGAGAAAGCAAAGGATGCCTTGGCACGTTTAGGTTATCCCATACTGCAAGGAGCTCTTTCCACAATCTTAGGAGTGGTTGTGCTCTCCATGTCTGGGAGTTACATATTTAGGACCTTCTTTAAGATTGTGTTTCTTGTTATTATGTTTGGACTGCTTCATGGCTTAGTGTTTATTCCGGTGTTTCTGACATTGAGTGGGGCCTGTTGGTAGTGGATTTAGAGTGGATTTGGAAGTCAAACTTGCCAATGAATTGTTCCCTCATTTTCTTTAAAAAGTGAAAAACCTCAAATGATTGGCTATTATGACTATTAACTTTATTTTTTTTGTGTACATGTTTTACATATTTGTGGAAGACGTGAATAAGCTTCAAACCTCTGTTAGGGTGTCGGTCAAAGCCTGTTTACTCGTCAATATTTGTTTCCTTTTAGCTTAGCCTGAGCAAAACCTTATAACATTGCTAACTAAGATTCCACATAATCATAGAGCAAAAAGTTTGCTGCCCTTGTGGCTATTAGGACAGATGTATAGTGTGCACACAGGCCTTGAGCCACTTTGTTATGATTTCCAGTTATAAAGTGCTTCTCTGTTGCAATTGTTAGTTTGTGTGTCTATTTGATGGTTTAGTTGCAGTATACTCCTGTCATTGCATTTGTTGAGTGCTTTGTTGTGCTTTGAATTTGCATCATTTGTGAATTTCTATTGTGTATCCCTGAAAGGAAAATCTTTCATCATCATCCTTGACCTTGTTAGCATACTCATTGTTTAAGAACCACTTTTAGTGCCCAGTTGTACAGCTGCAGGACCAATTACATTAAAGTGTTTCCATCAGTATCACACTCACATTTCACATGCTGTTTGTGGAAAAATACTTTAGATTTTAACTTCTTTTTTGTGTATGTCAGCGTCACACTAATGAATTTGGAGAAGAGTCTGATTCTATTTTATTTTGTTTTTCCAATAGTCTAAATGATGTGCATTTTGGATAACTGCAACAAAGTACTTTGCATGTTAAAGACTCATAGGAACAAATATGATCAACTTTACAGAACCTCCAAACAAATCCAACATATTTTTTTCCTTCTTTTGGATACTTATTTATTTCAGCTGCACAAACACTCATTTACCACTGCCATCTTTCAATCACCGGCAGACAGCTATTGGATGTGTTCTTAGCATAAAAGCATTTACTATACATCTATATACAATAATCCCACTACATCCCAATCATATGTACAGTCTAACATGGGTAAAAGGCCAATAAACAAAAGTTATGGTGTCTCATATTGAAGCAAATATCGGAAAAAAAAGTTAAAGCTATGAAGTTAAACATATGCTGGTGGTCATCTCAACAGGAGCTATACAGTAGTTCAAAAATAATTTAATTTGAATAATTAGAATATGAATTTGTATATAGAGAAATAACTACCACAATAAGTCACAATAAGACTCCTGGATATCACTTTCCAATTTAGACTTGTTACAGTTTGAATTCCTTCTTTCAATAACAGTGCTGGCACATCCTAACCTTTCTTTAAAATGTGTTCAAACCAAAAAGTGTAGACTCATAGATGAGAGAAAACTTAGTTTAAAGTGATGACAAAAGAATAGTGTCAGAACTGGCCTTTTAAAAAAAATAATTTTGGGATTAACAGTATTTAATTCACACATTTGCATAAAAAAAATCTAAACTGTATTCAGATTTTTTTTAATTGGGCTAACATTAGAACTTTAAAAATCTAACCCCAGTGTGTGAATGTGGCATGCTTTCTGAAGCTAAGCATCAGGTTTCAAACCATCTGTACATATAGATTAAATGAAATAAATTACAAGAAGTTTACAAGTGCATTTTCAGTTTGTACACTTATCTAAAGTGCAGAGACATTATATTTTTACTTCTACTTCAAAAGGGATATTACACTAACAGTACATTCCCCAAAAGGCCACCTTTAAAATGTGCAACCGTGACGTAGGCAGAAGGTTCAGCAAGAGGAGAGTGTGTATGTGCATGACTTTCAAATCATTCTAAATATAAAATAATCTGAGTCCAAACACAACGCCTAATAATGAAAGCTTGATGAAAAAAACACAAGCAAATAAAAAATGAAATGAATACCACCACTAGAGGACAACTGAGGAGTTGAAATTCAAGGTGCATTCATAGCATGGAAACATTGTGGCCTTAAATAAGCATTACATTCAGGTTTACCTTTACCATAATAACAATCTAAGGCCGTGGGGGGGGGGGAATCTGTGCAACTATGCACAGATCCCCCCCCCCAACATCTCAACATAGAAAAGCGTTTTGTCTTTGGAAATATTGATGGGTTGACATGAAGGTGACAGCATGAAGGTATACCAAATATCCCTTATAATTTGCTGCTAATGACCTGAGTCCATTCCTCCTTCCTTGATTGCTGAGCTCTCAAAACCTAACACCGCTCTCCTTTTTTTTTTCTGCCCCCCCTGATTGATGGTGTCCTTGCTAGTTTCAACTGGTATTAAGGGTCTTTCCTTCCAGGACCAGCTGGATCTCTTTGGCGTCCAAAGTCTCGTACATGAGCAGAGCATCTGCCAGGTTCTTGTGCTCTTTGGCATGAGACTTCAGCAGGGCTTTGGCGCGATCATAGGACTCCTGGAGAAAGCGAAAAAAGTGAAGGCCAGAAAAAGTTTAGATTTTTCTTAATGTTCTAGATCTGAATTTTTTCCATGCGGCCTAAATGGCAGCCCCTGGTGGATAGACTTGTAACTGCAACTATCAGACAGATGTGTCAGCAGTCACAGGTATGCCTGCAGCCACTAGAAAAGACCCGAAATCATACCTGTAGAGCCTGAGAATAAATGTTGGTCTCTTGGACTATGACTATGTTGGACTAGTCAGATCATTCTTAAAAACCTGAGCAGTTTTAATATGTTTTCTTTGTCATTGTGCAAAACAAAGAAACTGCGAAGAGTCTCCCTGAGCAGTATAGTGAAAGTAGAAAAGATCAATTTATCAATGGATGAAAATAAACAATACTTTTATTTTATTTAGGAATCAGTCTTGTAGTCATGTATGATCTTGCTCTTCCTGTTTTACTTTGTTTTATTGTATGATTCTTTGTACCCTGTATCGTTCTGTCTGTTTATTGTTGTGCTTGTTTGGTACTGTTTTATGTGCATCTGTTGTTGAGTTTTATGTTTTTTAAAGGCCCATCTAGGGACAGGCATTCCTCAGGCTATAAATGCTGTAGCGTGTGCAACAGTTTACTTGCTCCCTACTTGTCCCTATATAAATAAACATTAAATAAATACCACATAAAATAGTATTTATAGATGAAAACAGTATTCACAGCGTATATTATGGTGTTTTCACTCAAGCACAAAACTCCTGAAATCTTCCTGGTTAACTGCATGTGGGTACAAAATAGGCATAATTTTTCATCCCCAACTTTTCCCTACCAGCCCCCAGGTAAAATGTTGTGTGAAGGCAGCAGGAAGTATTCAGTATAATTCACCACAAGCAAGGCCACAGGACCAGTGGGCAAGTGGCGTGATCATCATGCATGTAAGCTGCTTCATACTCTTTTCTGCACACCAGTATGTTCTTATCCAGACATTTAATTATTTTGATAGCGACCATGTACAGCCGCTAAGCTGTACCAGCGTTAGCTATGAGCTAATTTACATATGTCCTCCCTGGACAGGAGACTGAGACAAAATATACACTAAAAGGGCGGTAGGGAAGTTGGTCTGGTAGCTGGAGAGGTGCCAGATCCCTTCCTGAGCACTGCTGAGGTGCCCTTGAGCAAGGCACCAAACCCCCTCAGCAGCGCCTGCTGTGGGCAGCTCTGTCACTCTGACGTCTCTCCATTAGTACATGTCCATAGGATGCTGTTTGTGCATGTTGCATGACTTACAGAGTGTAAAAACTGAAATCAATAAAAGTAAATCTTAAATCTTAAAAAATATACGTTAAATCTTTTTTTCTAAGGCTGAATTGCACTGGATGAAGGGAGGTTTTTTCCTGAGTTTAAAAAGTCAGGAGTTAGTTGTTCAGTAACTACTTTTACAGGGATTTCGGATATATGTGTTTACACTGTGTGAAAGTCTATTGACTAGTGAAAGTCTCCCACTGTGAAGTGCATGTGTGAACAAGCAAGTCAAGATTTTAGATGCAGCCTGTCCTGAAATATTCCAAATATATTTTAGAGTGCATGTGTGAAAAAGGCTTCAGACAAAGACAAATGTTTCACTGAAATTGAATAAACAAAATGAACGGATATAAAATTGTTCAGATGTCATTAGAAAGGGCGGCTGAGGCTCAGTTGGTAGTCATCAGTTGCTCAGTCATCATCTCTCAACCGGAAGGTCGAGGGTTCAATCCCCAGCTGAGCAACATGTCCGATGTGTCCTTGGGCAAGACACTTAACCCTGCATTGCTCCCTCTGCTTCGGTGGTGGTGTATGAATGGATTAGTGTTGTACTCACTCTCTGATGTACGTCGCTTTGGATAAAAGCGTCTGCTAAGTGAATTATAACATTGTAACATTGTAAATGATCCTACAAACCTTTAATAAGACCCTGACTTCGTTCTCCACAGCCGCTTGTGTCTCTGGGCTTTGTGCTGTCATGTCAGTATAGGTCATCACTCCTAACTGCAAGACAGAAAGGAAAATAAAAATATAAATGTCCATAAAATATAGCAAAATACAACTAACTGCCTTCTCTCTTAAACAAGTTTACCTTTTCACTCATTCCACATCTCGTCACCATCATCTTGGCAATCTTTGTAGCACTGTCAAAGTCACTTGATGCACCTGGAGAGGAGAAAACGACATGTTGCCCTTTTACATTCAGGCCTCTTCCAATAAGATATTATCCAGACTTTTTTACAATCTGCTTCTTGTTTCAAAAAATGTTTAGATATTCATCTGACCAGTAGTGATGTACTCATGGCCGAAGATAATCTCCTCTGCTACACGACCGCCCATGCTGACATCCATCTGGGCCAGAAGCTGAGAACGAGTCTCACTCCAGACATCATTCTCTGGGAGCATTGACACCTGGAAAAAAAAACATTGAAGAGTATTGAGAATTAAAGGGGTAGAGAGGATTTCCATTAAATTAATGACAGTTTGTTCCAGACCTGGTTTTATAGCTTAATGTGCAGAGACTAATCCTTTAGGTATTTCTTACATGTCCCAGGCTGGGGCCTCTGGGCATGATGGTGG